TTCCCAACTTCCCAAATTCCCAAATTCCCAAATACTGAAATTACCAAATTCTCAAATTCCTAAATTCCCAAATGCCCAAATTCTCAAATTCCTAACTTCCTAACTTCCCAAATTCCCAAATTCCCAACTTCCCAAATTCCCAACTTCCCAAATTCCCAAATTCCCAAATTCCCAAATTCATGATAAAATAATTTCTATTTACGTGCTGCTAACGGAGATATAAACTATTATTAAGTAAAGGAAATAATAAAAACTGAAGTATTTCAAATACTTAATTCAATTTTATTATATTAGTTACTTTCACAATATCATAGTAAAATTAAACATACGTAAAAGTATATATACTATAACACATAGTACACGGTATTTGTTACATTAAAAAATAACATCTCGTGCAGTGTTCGAAAGTGAATGTTCCAATAAATAATTAACAATTAACAACTTTAAGAAATTAAAGTAATTTATTATTTTCCACAAGTTTTTCACATTTTTGATTCGCTTAAATTACGTAAGATACAGAAATAATCAGTTATACATGTATCTGTAATATTTCCCGTATTTGACATGAAGAAATGTTATATACAGAAGTTGCACAGCGTTAAGAAAACATAACATAACAAAGATTATATGGTACAAAGAACGTTCATTGAACAAATTGTAAAAAGCACGTGCAATTCTTCTTTTCAAATACGCAAATGCAATTTTATGATACAACTCCATAGATTTTACTTTTGAAATATAAATATAATTTTATGAGAATATTTTATTTCCAAATTAAAAATCTGCGTTTCTTTTTTTTAAATCAGATTTTTAAAAATTGGAGCTACAAGAAAAAAATGTAATTTTCAAATTCGTATTCAGTCAAAAATATTTCAGACATATACAGAGTGTTATCTGTAATGCTACTCAGGATTTTTCTCTCACTTGCAACCACCTTACGAAAAAAAATTTAGAATAATATTTGCAGGGTATAAACTGCACAGTAAATATTAGTAAAGCAAATTTTGAAAATAGTTTGTTTTCTTAGCAAAGTCAAAGTTTTTAAACAAAATTTTTAAAAATGAAACTGGATATTTCATACATTGAATGACACTTCATCGAAACAAAGTAATTTCTTACTTATCAACCTTGAATCTCTTAGTTAAAATACACATAAATAAATTTTATCAAAACATGACGAAAATCGAAGTTAATACTCTAATTAAAAGAAAGTGACTTAAAAGTGATGTAAAATTAGTATTAAGAAATTCGATATCCTTATAATTATATATTTTATTTGTGTGTATACCGGGTGTTCCCTATAATGCTGCTCACAATTTTTTTTCCACTCGCAATCACCTTACGAAAAAAAGTTTACAACAATATTTGCAGGGTATGAAGTGCACAATAGATATTAATAAAGCAAATTTAGAAAACAGTTTATTTTTTAGGCAAAGTCAAGGTCACCTTGGGTTTTTTAAATAGGAACATACATTTTTTTTATTCATAGCTATAAAGGACATCGAGACGAATTCAAGACACATATTACATGATATTTTTATTAACATATTACTCGATTTACAGAAGTGGAAATGTGAAGTACTTAGCTTTTGACTTTGGTAGTGCAACCATTATTTGATTCCAAAGAGATTACTGAATGTAAACACGCGACTAGAATGTAAGAAAAATACATTTTATTTAATTTTATGTTCAAAATGCATGCTGCCTTCCATCACGTAATATTTCGGCTTTTTACTTTACATTTCTACTTCTGTAAATCGAGTAATATGTTAATAAAAATATCATGTAATATGTGTTTTGAATTCGTCTCGATGTCCTCTAAAGCTATAAATAATAAAAATTGTACGTTCCTATTCAAAAACCCCAAGGTGACTTTGACTTTGCTGAGAGAACAAACTATTTTCAAAATTTGATTTACTAATATTTATTGTGCAGTTCGAAACCTGTAAGTATTGTTTTAAACTTATTTTCATAAGGTGGCTGCAAGTGGAGACAAATCGTGAGTGGCGTTGCAGGTAATACTCTGTATATGAAGAATATTAATAAACCAAATACTTTCTGAACAATAAAAACTTGCAATGATTTGTATACAATACGTAATATACAATGCTGCAATTGTTCGCAAATATTATAAAATGCTATAAAATTAGTATAATTCATTTTTAAACCATTTGCAGACAATAAAATAATTCAAAACTTGTAATAAAATTTCAATACTATTTCTGTAGGAAGACGTCAATTAATTTGTTTTCAAATATATAATTTCATACTTTGTTGAAGATATTATAATATTAGATGAAAATTTATTTACATAAATTGGCACGACTGGGTTGGTCTAGAAAGGGCCAGGTCTCCTACTTTCATTTAAAATATTAAGTGTTTACTGTTTAATTTTGTCATAAATTGAATAAATGTCAATTAAATAAATTGTCATAAATAAAATTAATTTTGTCACGATTTAATAAGTACGTTATAGAAATCTTTATTTTTATTAAGATAACATTTTATGAGGGAAGCTTTATTTCTATTTATTCCAATAATTTTTGCTGAAGAGATGCAATGTGCATTTTGGAGAACCAGTTCCAACTAGGACTTTACCCAGCCACACCAATATTTATATTCAGTCAAATTACATAACTATTTACAAATTAAACATTTACTTCTTCTTGTATTTCTGCCGCTTCATTCTTTCTCTCAAGACTCGCGGTGCTTTTATTAAACCTCCAAAGTCCTCCCATGTACCATAAGATAACGCAGGAAAGACTTAAAACCGAAGTGAAATGAAGAGCACCGACATAACTCATCATCCAGTCATGCACTAAACCTGAAATGCAAATATGAAATGTAGAAATATAAATCACTACGAAGATAAATTGCTTCGTCTAAATTATACTTGTTTTATTCCGAACTTCTCTTTCGGCAGAAACTACTTTGAAATTTTATTAAAATGTCTTTTAGTTTCTCCTTCTATTAAAGTGAAACGAAGTCGGTTAAAACATATGAAATTGTTACAAATATTTATGTGAAAGAAATATTGGTTTAAAAGAATCAGAGACCATTGGATACTTCAAGAGGACAATTGTTCTAAAGGGCTCATTTTAAAGGCGAAGCTTCAAAGAATATGACCATATTTTTTTTAAATTTAAACTCTTTACTCCCCCCATTAAAAAGAAACGCAAAAAAGAATTTGTTTAAATTCAACATTTTATAACAAATTGACGGAATTAAAAAAAATATTTTAAAATAGCCCAATCATTTATGAACAAAAAGAAAAACATTTAGCTAAGTCGGTTGATTAGTTCGGTTTGAAGCCTATTTTCGTAAAATGAGCAAAAATTGCAAACTTTGGAGGCTTGTTATTTCTCAGCAAATTCGAAACCGTCCAAATGATGACTTAAATCCCCCACTAATTTCACATGGACTACAACATATTTTGATTAGAGCAAATGGTGAAGTCTAAAAGTGATAGATTTGGCGTGGAATGATCCATTAGTTCTTTAAATGTACTTTCGTTCTATACATCCTTTTTACAGAAAAGATTCACTTGCACTCAGACATCGCGTCCGTGCTTTTGTGGAACAGATTGTAAAAGGATTCACTTACCTATGATTGGACCTATGATAATAGACAGAATACCGTTGCAAACCATTTGCATTCCGGACGCAGCTGGCAATCTTTCCAGAGGAACATAGTCAGGAATTATTAAAGCTTGAAAAACAGCTTTCGTTCCTTTTGCAACTCCAATAATTAGTGCAACGCCGACTACCACGATGTACGTATTCCCCCATGTTGACAATACTAAAACAAATAAACAATGTTCAATTCTTCTTTGCCAATAAAATATGCAATAACTTTTAGTAAGTTGTTGCATAGTAAGTGATAAATTTCGAAATATAGAAATATATGATCTGATACAAGACCAAAAAATAGCAATTTTGGTAGATGAACTTTAAAATTTTATGAAAATTGTTACATGAACATTGCATTAATATTTCTGATAAAAATTAACTGATTCTTCGTTATATGAAAATATGTAACTATACACAATATGTGTAACTATATAGAACGTGATCTAGTTTTAGAACGCAGTAGCTGATCACAGTTAACACTAAAACTCCCAAAGTGGTCGAATGGCTGTTTTACAATTGTTTTATTTCCAGTTACAAAATTTGTTAAAGTGATTGAAACTGTATTGATCATAATGATAAAAAATTAACGCGTACATTAATTCATGCATTATCATATATTTCAACTGCATTTCCAATTTTAAAGTATTTCAAAGTATTTCAACTTCATTTTTAATTTTATACGCAGGTAGGTTTAGTGTTAATCGAGCATAAATTTCAGTGACAGATAATCCCACTTTAGAATCATTTATAACAAATTGAATATAACCGGTGCTTCGTACAAAATATATTTATATTTCATATACTTATTGAACAGAAAAAAACTAAATCATTTTACAACCGAAAAATAAAATATAGAAAAATAAAGAAAATATTTATACTTTACAAATTATAGTGCACTATTCAAAAGTCTATTAAATTGTAGAAGAATTATAGAATTAAAGCAATCATGATTAAATGATAACAAACGAAGTTCATTTGTAAATGACTCGACAGATTCAATGACCGATTTTATTGGCTTCACGATAGTAACTATAAAGTTGAAATCAACCCACCCAGCAGATCGTAAATTGGTTGCCGTGAAGGGATCGATTTCTCATTTCGAAAATTTTACGTTGCTGTACGTACTGGTCCTTCCAAGGGTGGATCCTATTAATGACAATACGTAAAGATTTCTGGATGTCCAGCCAATTTTCTGCGCCAACAGTGGGACGCAAAGTCGTCCAGTGATGTCGGATATGGCTTGGATCGACATTATGGTCGCGACTGAGTTTCTGTCGAGTCCAGAAAGTTCCATAAGGACAAATGGGATCATGGCGTTGAAGTTGGTTTCCGCAACCATGGACACTCCCATGCCTATCGTAAACGAAATTGAATAATCGTATTATGATAGAACGAATTGAAGAATTGTACAGTTCAGTTTAATATAAGGAACTCGTTTTAAAATTAAATAATTTATTTCATTTTACGTAGAATTGTAATTTTTCATTTGATGCAGGATATTACAAGATTCGAATACTATTTTTCATGGTAATATAATTAAATTAGATAGTAACATAATTTTTAACACAGAAATATATTTTGTATTCTGGAATTCGAAAGTAACTTGTGAAATTGCCAAACCAATTACTTCAAAATTCTGAACTTATTCCAAAATTTTCAAATCTTCATAAATCCCTAAAAATGGAATGCAAGAAATTTTTCTTTGATTTCTAAAACTTTTTCCTAGGGAAACCAAATTTGCTCTTGACTGCGCCTTTTTCTATCAATCGATATTCGAACGCAGAAATAAAATTTGTTCAAAAACTTTTTTTTAATGCAAGTAAAAGACTATCAGCGTTACAAAGAAGCTATCTCATTTAAATAGTTTTCTAGTTAAAATTACCTAAAATTACAGCAACATAACGGCTATCCCTCAAAAGCTCCAGATCCAAATGTTTCGATATTTTCGACAGTACCGACTTCTTCTCTTCTTTCTTACTTTCGTCATGGCAGCTTTCCAACGAATGTTCATCGCATTCTTCTGTCCGTTTTTCTGTATCTTCGTTCAACAAACGGCAATTAACAGTTCCGTTTTTTATTTCGGTTTCTTCGGGTTTCAATTCTTTGGACCGTTTTACCGCATTACTGCCGTTGTATTCTGCGGAAGATGCCGTGATGTCATTGCCCTTTGTTATACTTGTGATCTATTAGAAAGCACATCTGACGGTGAACGTTAACCGTTGCTTTCTGCTTAAAGTATTAACTCATTAGCTTACGGAAGAGAATCGCTAAAATCATCTAATTATTTTTACTTTGTTAATTATTAGGTGTAATTCAACATTCGGATGAAATTATGTATCTCATTAATACATGTATGTACGTTACTAGTCATTAATACATGTATGTACGTTATTAGTCAAAATAGGGCTCCTATTGCTGTTTACAATTTTTGTATTGCATTGAATTTCCTATAACGAAAGAATAGCTGCATATTTTTAATATTTCCGGATTTGCAATGTTTATTAACAATGTTGAACTGATATGTTGATTATGAGAACTTTGAAACATTAACAACTTTTATATGACAATGTTATATCATGAGAACCACGAAACATTAACAATTTTCATATGATAATGTTATATCGATCATGAGAACCTTGAAATATTGACAATTTTGATTTGACAATGTCATATTTATCATGGGAACCCTAAAAAAGTGATGATGCTGATTTAACACTAAGTTTACGGAACGTGTCATTTTGACGCATTTGGAATTTTTTTAGGAAAATTACAAAAACCGTTCGCATTTTTATTTTATCTCTTGTACTGACGTTTATCCATTGAACGAGGAAAATATATATGGAAGTCTATTTTCTTCAAAAGCTTTGAAATATTGAAATTTGCTACGTGGTATATCTATCTCTGCGGATGTGCGTCAATTTGACGCGATCGTAATGTAAATAAAATTTTTAGTAAATTAGTTTTACCCATGCAAAAATTACAACAATAATAAATATGAATGCACCGACAATACCTTATAAACGACGGACTTCGCTAGTCCGGAGTCGCACGCGGCCGGCTCAGTCGGTATGCCGGGTTCGGACCCGGCGTCGCAGTACAAATCGCAGTTCGCAGGATAGAGGGAAGTAAAAATATGAATGTAGAATATTGAAGTAATGTACTAAAATATTATTGAATAATAAAAACTTTCTATAAATATATCTCATATTTTCATTTCTTACTTGTTGTGTTTAATTATATTGCTTTCTAAGTGGTTTTCCTTTAAATATATGCATTCGTTCATGCGTCAAACTAACGCGTGTTTGTAGAGATAGGTATATAAGAAATGTCCGAAAACCTAGCGTTAACAATGTTGCGTCGATCATGATTAATCTAAAATATTTACAGTACTAAAAATAGTGGTAGAAGAAAATTTAAAACAACTACACTCGCATATAAGTATTAGTACCTCGATTATCTTGTTTCTACTTCATACGATACATCAATTTACGGAAAATGATTAAATTTTATAAAATACAATACTCCTTTGTAAACGATTTCACATATAGTTTGCGTTTCGAACTATCTTTCGTCCTCCATTGTATATTGATTGCTTATTAGAGACATCTCATTGTAAATAAAATTGAACGATCAATATTGTCTTAAAATGATAACGATTCAGATAATTTCCGCAGCTAATGAGTTAAGAAGACACCGAACTATTGCGGACATATTTGCGCTCATTTCAAGGATAAAATATTTAGCGAAGTTTATTGAAGTTAGTAATCGTGATCAAACATTTAAAACACTGCCGTGTCTGTTGATTTTCCCAGATAATAAACTAATTAAGGATAAAATTCTTCTTAATATACTTTTTAAGGTATATGTTTTATATGTTTCGATGAATTTTAACTTAAGCATACATCAGTTTTATTTAAATAAAATAATTATTTGATAATATTAGTGTTTGTATCGATGAAAACTGTGTATGTTGTAACTCGTTCAGTGTCCTCTTATTAAAAGTTACCTTTTAATGCAGTTTCAACTCACTTCTTTCTCGATGAACGGTTTCAACAATGACGCTCCGATAAATGAGTGGGTTGCTACACCAGCAAGTATCAGTAGAGTTCCAGTAGTAGCATAATATTCCAATAGCTTGGCTATTAAAAGGGGCATTAAAATAGGTCCTAAGCCAGTTAATGTTACGGAAAATCCCATAGCCAGGTTACGTTTCTTTCGAAAGTACGTGTTCATGGCTAAACTAGTAGCTGGGAACATGATTCCGTGACCCACACCTATAAATTATTATTTATTATCATTAATTTATAGTTGATATAGAATATTTCAAAATATTAGCGTTTCAAAATATGAATAATGCATAGGATGTTTCAAAATATTGACATTGCATAAAACTTTTCAAAATCTGAATATTGCACAAGGTGGTTCAAAATATGAACATCATATAGTGTATTTGAAAATATAAAAATTTTATAGGGTGTTTCAAAATATGAACATCATAATATATATTTTGAAATATGGACATTTTATAGAGTGTTTCAAAATATGAACATTTTATAGAATGTGTCAAAATATGAACATCATGTGGTGTATTTCAAAATGTAAACATTTTACAGGGAGCTTCAAAATATGAACATCATATGTTGTATTTCAAGATATGAACATTGTATAGGATATTTCAGAATACGAATACTGTATAGGGTGTTTCAAAATATTGATATACCATAAAACTTTTTTAAATATTAATATTGCACATTTCATCTGTATTACACGTTCATCACGTCAATTGTATAAATTCAAACGCGTTATGGTTTCTTTTACTTTCATGAAGGGAGAAAAAAGAGAAGTCTTCGAGGTACTGATTACTCACCGACGATAACACAATAAGATACGATAATGGCAGGAACAGATACAGCAAACGCCGTTATACAGATACCAACGGCGACAGTCAAACCACCGAAGAAAGCTACTTCTCGAAATGTGAATCTCTTCATCATGGGGCCGCTTATCAGACCCAAACTGCATGTTATCGTTCCATTCAGATGAAGAATTAGAGATGTTTGTGTGGCAGTAATACCGAGAGAATAGAAACGTTCACTGAAGATTAGGCCGAAGCATTGCTGAATTGGAAGTATCGCCACCTGGAAATCAGTATGTTCAAGTTGTAATTGCCCCGGCTTTGTTAGTTGTAATTTCTCACAGTGAAACAAAATAAAGTGATCAAAAATTCATATATTTTACTCTATTCTAAATATTTCAATTTCAATAAATTAATTTTTACATTGCAGTTTTTAAGTTGTATGGCCATGGAATTAGGAGCACGTACGAAAATTTCACATTTATGCCTATAACATTATATGGAAAATTGTCTTAGGTCATGCAAAATTATTACTAAATACGTCGATAACGATATACACATAGCATTTTGTTACTATCGTGATAATAAATTCTGTGGGTGATGAGCAATTAACCGTGCGAGCGTTTACGTTAGGCCGAATATCGATAGCGCGTGAGGTAAAATTTGAATGCCATAAAAAATGTCTGCCTACCAAAAGACTAGTTTACAATTCTCCAACCACATTATCTGAGTTGAAAAGAATTACAGATATTTTGGAAAATAATGAAAATATAAAGCATATGATGTATGCAGAGCATGCCGGAAGCTGCGACCAAAGCAAAGAGTGGAAATACAAGATATTAATGTGTGTTAATAATGTTGTGTACAGTAGTAGTTGGAACATAATAAATTATTACAATTTGAACAGGCTTTTTAATTTTATGGAAAATGTGGAAAATGCTGAAAATATATAGTGGTCATAATTTGATGGTGAGAGACTATTATATACTTTTAATAGCATTTCATATTAATATAAATATAATATGCTAGTATGTAAATATTTCAGGTAATCTTTCATTTTTAATGTTTCATATTTTAATATAATCTTCAATCTTCAATATATCTTCAATATAATCTTCTGTCTATTACAATCTCCTTGAGAAGTTCCAATAGACTAGTATTTGTTTTGTTCAATATTTTTTATCTTCCTCAATATCTTCCTTCATATATTTTCCACACCGAGCTTACCAAACTTTTCAAAAGCATGAAAGCAGATTTATAGCACTTTAAAAAAAGGAATAAGTGATGTAGCATAAAGTAAAATTTGCATAAGATAATATTAAGCATACACAAATGTCAAATTCCTTCTTTTCAAACATTTGTATTTTATCTCCGCTCTGTGAAAAAATTACAAAAAGAAGCAAAGTTTGGAAAAATGAAAAAATTAAAAAGCATATTAGAACACGAAGTGTCATCACAAGGAATTAAAGAAGGCAATAAAATAATTAGCAGATTTATTTGAAAATGAAAGCAAATAAAAAAAGCTACACTTATTTCTCAATTAAAAGATATCTCTTCAGTCTATAAAAGTACGAGAATGATCGACTAAGTCGTTGTGCTGTTTATTGTTCTAGGATTAGTCATAAATATCATAACTACAATATAATTACATACTTCAATCATTATTTCGATCCATAAACTTCCGACTCCTTTCGTATCTAATCTTGTGGACACGTAAGCACGTTGAGTTAAAAACTTAATTCTTCTTTTGTTGTACTGATTATTGCAATACATTATCACATCAAATAGAATTTTATTTTCATATGTGATTTTTTTGAAATTCTGATTATAAAAATGTTAAATTTTTGCTCATTGAATATTTATAACAGGTACAGCAATTAAAATCAAATCTCGTTATAAATTAAAATTCATAGTTAAATTTTAGTAACTGAAATTATTAATCAAAATTAAATTATTTAACAGGCATGACATACTACATGGAATTATAAAGTGTGAAACTCGATTACGAATTTTAATAATTGACAGTATTAATGAAAATTAGATTCTTAAACAAGCATGGCAGACTGCCTGAAATTATGAAGTGTAAACAAGACAAAACACTTCATGCAAAAAAGATATGTACTCACTTTCAAGTTCTTCTCATAAAAAATAAAAATAGTACTTAATACTACGAAAATACTACAAACATCGATAACTCACATTTCAATGGAAGAGCTAATATCTTTAATTTATAGTCAAACAATGAATTAGTGTAAAGTATGATAAATACATTATAAAAGATAAACAGTAATTCTATTGACATATATTAGTTTATAACATCTACTCCTGAATTCACCAACAAATTGCTGAAATTATCATCTTACTTGTGAACAAATTTTCTTACAAATATTTTGACGAATGTTTGAATTTAATTTTCTCAAAAACCAAGCTTTGTACGACAAAATTTCATTATATACTTTCAACTTATTTTCTTAACGTAAAATCTCTGATATTACCATTGAAAGTGTTACCATTTTCAGTATCACTATATTTAACTTCAAATTGTAGAGGTAACAGCGATAAATGTTCAATTTACAGAAGCTTTTATTAGCAGAGCTGCGACTCCAAATTTGAATTACAGAAAATAATGCACTCATATAGTGGCAATTAATTCGAATTAAAGTAAGCTTAATCCCGACTCATAGTTTTCGTAACAAAATGATAAGGAATGAGCAAAATGCAGTTTATAGTTCGACTGTAATTACATGCTTCAAACTACGTGCAGAGGAGCACGTGTGCATCGAGCATCTCCTTAGATAAATGAATAGCCTACATATGCATGTCCATGCATTAGTGATACATGAATATCGTTTCGTTCCACAAAACGAATACATTATCTGTAGAAAGCAAGAAAAACTCTGGAACTCACGTTAATGATTGTTACAGCGACGACGATCATCCATGCCCAACCTCTATCTGTTTCACTGGACGACATTTTATCGGAGCCTGTTCGTGAACAATGACACCGTGCTGCTTCTTTTTATCCTTCGTTTCGTCTTGGAGCCGATGGCAGACTGCAAACTTAACGTGCCGACTAAATAGAAGCCGGGATTGGGCAAATGATAAGATACCAGGCAGCGTGGATATATTAGTGTTAGACACGTACGCCCACGAAGACATCTGCAATGAATTGTTGACGGTATGGTAGCTCACCGAGAGAAATCGAACGCAACTGTGTGATACAATTTGAAAGTCAACGTGTTGAATAACATTTACATTGTTCTCTGTTGTTGCATCGAAAATATGCTTTCGTTAACTCGTCGACGAGTTGGAAGTTTTAGACTGAGAAAATTTGTATCAATGAACGAAAGGATTTTGTGCTCCTGCATTTAGAGGAGAATAAATTTCAATTGCATGATTTGGAAAGTTAAGTTATTTGATATTAGGGAGTGAACGAATTTTTTGTAATATATTTTGCCAATTTTTAATGTTTTACAGAGTTTTAGATTGATTTGATTGAATGCTTATTTTAGTATTAATGAAACTAATTTTAAAGTTTGCAAAATTATTTGTTAGAAAAATTTTTGTGAATCATATGGAATAATAAGAGATTTATTTTTAATTTGTGTAAAAACTTTATTTCATTGTGTGTATCGAGGTTATTTATTTTTCAGCGTTGTGTAAACATGTGAAGACAGTAAATATTTTTCTGCTGTTACAATATTTGTATTTATTTTATTATGGATTTTATGGTTTCTAATGGTTGAAATGATTGACAATTTCAATTGACATTGAAATGATTTTGGACAATTAGAAATAATAGTATTAAAGCTAATAATTATTGATAATAATATTTTGGGTAATGATAGAAATTGCAAACGACTGCAAGTTTTAAACTTAATTAATTTATTAACTATTTCATTTCTAAATTTATAGCTTTTAATGCAATATATGTGTTAAGAAATATATTTAAAAATTTATGTAATTTAAATGGCAAGAATAGCAATAACCTATATGAAGAATTCACGTGTAAATAATTTCAGTGTAATAATGAAACTCAGTATAATAAAAATTCAGTATAATAATTAATGTGTATAAATTACATTTAGTGCAAAAATTAGTGTAAAATTTATTACTGTCATTAGTTAACAATAATTTGTTTTTAAGATTTCTTGTATTTAACAAACGTGTATTTCTTGAGAACCCTTTCTTTATCTTATGTTTACACCTCCACTTGCAAGTTATAAATTGTCTGCTTGCTCGAAGTGTTAGTAGATATCGTTCGTTTAATTACAAATGGAAATATTCGACTTCGTCAACTTCAGTCACGTGGAAACAATATCAGATAACTGACTGATAAAAGTTTCTGAAATATCATGAATTAAATATTTGAAATGCTTGCGCGCCATTTTTCAAATTATCTGTGTTCGATCGATAAAGTAGAAATCTAATTATCATACGTTCAATGTTGTAATTAAAACTATTTTCTGTATTAAATTTTTCAATGATTTAGGTTATGAATATATAAATTTTATTTCAATATCATTTCAAGTGTTTTTATTCAAATACAAAAGTGAAAAATAAGAGGTTCTGTTTTGAAATTTTTCAAGTACTCTCACTGGAGATATCTGATTAAAGATAGATCAAGTATTGTTTATTAAAGATATATGTAAGATATATTTAGATATATTTACATATAAGATATATGTAATTTAAAGAAAGGTTTAAATACATTTAAAATTTTGTATTTATTACACTTTTGTAAATTTGTGAAGTAAAATGGTTTTGTAAGAAAAATGGAATAAATTGTAATATTTATGACACTAGTTAATATTTTATTAGCAATCTTTTTTTTAGTTCATTACGTAAAGTGAGGAAAATTATGGAACACAAGAAAAGTTTAAGCGTTTATAAAAGAGTGAATACATTATTTATATACATATATAAAATATAAGTAAGATATTAAAAGTATGAATAAACGACGCATATGATTAACTTAACAATCATGTTTCACTTTCAACAATTTATTTATTTTTTTAACTTTCGTTGTTGTAAAGTGTTTCGTCAATTTGTTCATTTACTTCTATTCTTGATTCTCAAACTTAAATTTTTATTGTGCATAAATTATTTAATTTTATTACAAAATGGAAAGTGTTTTGTTAATTTTTTTATTTATCTTATTCTTAGTTTTCATACTCGAACTTCTATTCTATGTAAAATATTTAATTTTATCGTGAAATGTTTGAAATCTATTCGTGTAGTTACGTAATTCATTCACAGTAAGTAAAAGATAATGTTTATGTAGTTTTTCTTTTGGATATGTATGCATGCAATTATACACGTGTACATTTTATATTTAAAGAGGAGGAAGTAGTGCGTGATAAGATAAGCAACAGTGTCATAAAAAATCATGCGATGTCTTCAGAACGTTGACATTTTAACAATTACAATACATTAATTAATTTTGATAATGACAGTAAAATATATACAATACATTTTAATAATTACAGTAAAATTAACTACAATATTTAAACTGATTAAGTGTTAGAATTAGTTCAATTTACGTAAATAAAATAGTGAATATTTATTGTGCATGTAAATATGAGAACTTGAGTATTTGAAAATTTTTAAGTCTTTAAAATTGAAAATGAAGTCCCATTTGGTCAACACTGATTCATTTTTGAAATACGAGACAACTTGATGACTGTTGATAAATACGTATGTACATGTATAGCTTTTATGTACACACATTGAAAGTTCTCTGTTGTATTATATTAATTTTGAACTTGACGTAGTGTAACTACAATGTCACTAAGGAATTCATTTATTTAACTATTATACTGTTATACTATCATTTATACTATTTTGAAAATCTTGTATAGTATTTGAAAGAAACAAATGTAACATGTAAAGAAGGTCAATGTTCTTAGCGTGACAAAAATGTAATTTATGACTGCATCGGGTAATTAAACGTTGGGTTTAATTATTACTTTGTGCATACTCATAAGAAAAAGAAGGGAAACAGATTCTTCTGAAATCAGTTATTTACTAATCTAACCGGAATTAAGTCATAAAACAAATTTTAGGATGCTGTAAGAAAACGATATTTAAGGTTATATACATGTCAGCATATGTGAAAATCAGTGTAATAGGAGATAACAGTGTTTGTATATTTGCCAGTTCAATTTATGAATTTCCAAATCATACTTTACGATTGTTAGATTTATACGCTAATGTGTATATTTATAAACACTTTCATGAAACATTTATGGAGTTTATAAAATTATTTATAATATACACTATGTTACAATTTATACATTTATAAAGTTTGACTAAAATACAGCACAGAAATTGTTGAAATATTTTAATTATAAGTGTTTGAATTGTATGCATTTATGTTTTATAGAATATTACTTGACATTTGCTTTTTTAATTACTATTAATTTCATATGAATGTGTCAGGAAACAAGAACAACCAAAGTTGTATTAACAGGTTTTAAAATAAAATCATTCCTTATTTTAACAATAAAATGTGTGTAAGTAAATTATAGTTACTAGTTATTTATTTTGTTCGTAAAGTGTTGAAATGTACAAGAGTACATTCTTGAATTTTCTTCTGTGAGATTGAAAACTTTTAATTTAATTTAAACTTAACTCTTAAACAAATTTATTGTGTTAAAGGTAAATAAACTTGAAGAGTATTCAAATTCAATGCAATTAAAATGCTAATGAAAATAACTATTTGTAAGAGGATGACGAAAAATGAAAGAACGGAACTAAAATATAATATCAGGATTTAATGTTCAAAATACAATCGTAATTCACGAAATCTTAATAACGAACGAATCACTTATTTATTACAATTGTCTTCGCAACCGATTCAAAACGATCACTCTTTTCGCTCGCTTCAAAAACAACCGAATCATACATCGATGTCTAATCGATACATATGTATAATCGATATACTGTCATGCTGATGCTTTACACTCATTATATGGTGCCAAAAATGAAAGGTGCGCAATGTGCGCAGTCAGATCAATATACAAAGAAATGTTTACATATTTTATAAAAAAATTTGTTTTCAAATTCATAATTTGAAACGCAACCTTAAAAGCAACCCTGTCACTTTGTCTATGATTCTACTACTGATAGCCACAAACAAATTAAAGTTATGTTAAATAACACGCATAACATTTTATTATCTTTCAATTCAATGTATCAGAAAACAATTAAACGCAACTAACAAAATAATTTAACTTCTTTTTCAGAAATAGAGTATTAATTAATTAGAATTAGAAATAATTTTAAATCCAATTTTTATTTCATTACGGTTCGATCAAATTAGTTTTATTTCGTTGCGATTCGATCAAATTAGTATCCATTATCAGATAGTCATCAAAACAGCGAACACGATGCGTTGAAGACATCGCTCGTGCTCCACTTGCAAAGAATAAGATACTCTATATATGTACCCCATTTTAGCCGACCGTCTAATAAAGGTTTAATGATCTGAGAGAACGCTTGTTCAAGTAGGTAAATGCTTGACCGAGTGAAAATGATCGTTTATTGTTAGCGTTTCAATTGGATATACTGGATTGTAATTGGCTATACTTAATGCAATTGTTACTTTCGGCTATAAGGTATACGATGTTCTTTATTTTATTGTTGTAAAATATCTACTAAATATCTACTATTAATTTATAAATATTAATTTATATATTATAATTATAACTTATACTTACTACTTATAATTTATATAAGTCTTTATATAAGTTTATAAATATTAAGTTTTATAATAAGGAACTAACATTAAGTCTTGTGTTTAGTTATAAAAGAGTTCATTTAGCTGTTTATACATATAACCAAATACTTTGTAATGAATTAATTTTATAAGGTAATATCATATAGTGATATATCATATGACTATATTATAGTAGTGTATAGTATTACTATAATATAGTCATATGATATAACGTGATATTATAATGAATATGATATACTTACTATAGTATACTATATCATACAGTGAATTCAAGTATATAAATTTAATTAGTAATTCCATCCATTCATTCACTTCAAAATTTTATTTTCATTTTCGACTTTTATTATAATTTATTTCCACATATTCCTTTTATTATTTTACTTCTATTGAAATTTTAAATATTATTAGTACACAAACTTAGGAGTGTTAGGTCTCTTTGATATGCAGACATTAATGTTTTATAAATAAAATTGACTATTAATTGACTGTCATATAACAGGTACATACACATACTTTAATTTATTAATTGAGGACATTAATTTCATTTACTAATTGTCTTTAATGATGTTTGGTGTAGCTTAATGGTTAAATAATTAAGAGCTTCATGAAGAGTTTAGCTATCATATCACAAATGCAAGTATTTTAATTTGATTGGTATTTCTTTAACTTAACAATAACAAAATCGAATTTAGTTCACCAATAATTTTTAATAATTTTATTTTTAATCCAACTGTGAAATAACTTAGTACATCATGTCTTCAGTCTAATTAATAAAATTGATTTCAATACGTGACATATTAAACTCTGTTAGAAATTGCAATTTGTCTCACATTAACTTAATATCAAAAAACATCTGAAACTTTTCAAACGTATCATTCAGCATCAAATTATCACAGTTTACGAAAAATAATTGGCCGCAATACATACGAAGTAAGCACATTCATCAAGAAAAATTCTTGATCAATTAAAATTAATTGAAAGAAAGTATCGAAGCTTCGAAAATAAGCAGTGTCTTGAAACGTAAAACGTTACGTTCCACGTGTGAATAAAAACATCGCTATTAATAAACGCAATTGACTCATCGAGATAAATGCTCATTTTCTACTTTCCAAAACAAGAATAACACAAAAGAAAATCATCTCGATAATAATTTGAGAAATCGACGAAAACTTACTGCATTTTTCTTCGAACAAATGTTTCATCGCTTCAAGTCATATTTTTTAATCATATTTCACGCTATTTTTCGCTTAATGAAAGATTTACAAGATATCACGATACACTATTGTACTTGATCACTTGAAAACACTGTATTTTCTTATCAAACACATTTTCGAGACGTTCACGTGTTATTTTTACGTCTTAAAAACGAGCAAGATGTGTGCTCCGATCGGAGCTGTGGATTATTCGTGACTGGCTGAATTGAAGGGAAGTCGACCGATAAAAACCGGCTTCGTGACTCGACTCCAGGCCAAGTATGTCTGGTCTTTCGTTCGTTGCTTCATTTACAATTTGATGCAACACACAAAACAAGTCAAACACTTGTGTTTAAAACGGAAATCGAATCGCGTTATAGATACAAGTAAAATAGTAGTATTTTTATTTTTATTGTGCAACTGATACATTTGTACCTGTTTGATATTAGTAAATATTCACAAAATAATGATACATGCTGACATAAATGTAGTTTCTTTATATAGTTAGTGAGTATTATATTCTATAGTTAAAAATGTAGTATTATCAATATTATCACGTTATCATAACTTCATGCGTCACTTATATCTAATAGATATTATTGTCAGAATTATGAGAGTACCTTGTAAAATTCATTTGTAGAGTATAGTTAGCATTTGTTAGATTAGATAAAAAATAATTGTGGAAAATATTAAGAATAAGTTCATTCACGAGTTTTTTAACTACTGGTTACAAATTTGCATTATCTTTGCTTTTGTTTTCTTACCAAATTCAGAAATTAATAAATGAACTACTGAAATTATATTTGAACAACAGAAAATTAGATTCGAATTATCTTTATAAATAATGTATATTAGAGAAAATTATTTGGATTGCTTATTTTTTGTCTAGATTTAAACAGAAAATGTTTGATTTTTGATCTTATTATGTTATTAGTACTAGATCTTATTATATTATTAATTCTTTTTCAATTTCCCGATATTCCCAAATCCCTAAATTTCCCAATTTCCCAATTTCTCAATTTCTCAATTTCTCAATTTCTCAATTTTTCAATTTCTCAGTTTCCCAATTTCTCAATTTCTCAATTTTTCAGTTTTCCCTATTTCCTAATTTCTCAATTTTTCAATTTCTCAGTTTCCCAATTTCTCAACTTCTCAATTTTTCAATTTCTCAGTTTCCCAATTTCTCAATTTCTCAATTTTTCAGTTTTCCCTATTTCCTAATTTCCCAATTTCTCAATTTCGCAGTTTCTCAATTTCTCAATTTTTCAGTTTCCCAATTTCCTAATTACTCAATAGTTTCAAATCCCTAAATTACCCACTTTCTCAATACTTCTAAATCTCTAAATTTCTCAATTTTTCAGTTTCTCGACTTCTTAATATTTCCAAATCCCTAAATTTCCTAATTTCCCAATTTCTTAATTTTCCAATATTTCAAAATTCCTAAATTCCCTTCTTCTAAAATTTCTCTTAAATTTTCAAAATCACAAATTCCTAAACTGTTTAACCACATGATATTTAAATATCCGAATTTTTACATTTTTAAATTCCTAAATCCCCAAGTGTTCAAATTCCTATATTTGTTCGTTGTTGCCAGATTCCTTAAAATAGTAGGATATTATCAAAAATGAGGACACAAACTGACTTTTCAAATATGTATCGTTCTCATTTATTTTACACTGTATAAATAATACATATAAAAATAATCAGAAAGAAACTTATAATTGAATCAAAATGTTAATGTAAATGGTTTACATCGGTATATTAACAAAAATGAATCGATTATCGAAGGAATTATTTATTACTTATAAATATAGAGTTTCTCATGTATTCATGTTCGAATATGAAAAATAGTTTCCTTGATTTATTATACAAATTTCGTTGAGAATTGTTAAGGTTTATTCTACCTCTTCTTTTTTCGCCTTGTCACTTAATATCGATTTCCTATTTTTAAGAGATCTGTACACAAATTCGAAACCCCACGAAATAAATGTAACCATTATCATCGAGGTCATAACGTGTATGCAAACTGCGTAACTTTCGCTCACGTCTCTGATGTATCCTGCAAAACAAAAGAAAATATTTATTCATTAGATTATTTGTTATTTCGACAGAAAATGTTTTTATTCATCATATTTAAATATAAAAATTATTGAATATATGCAAACGTATACAGGGTGTTACCTGTAACGCTGCTTACGATTTTTCTCTCTTTTGCAACCAGCTTACGAAAAAAAGTTTAGAACAATATTCGCAGGGTATGAAGTGCACAATAGATATTAATAAAGCAAATTTTTAAAACAGTTTGTTCTCTTGGTAAAGACAAGGTTACCTTGGGTTTTTTAAATAGGAACATACATTTTTTTATTCATAGCTTTAGAGGACATCGAGACGAATTCAGAACATATCTTACATGATATTTTTATTAACATATTACTCGATTTACAGAAGTGGAAATGTGAAATAAAAGACCGGAATATTACGTGATGGAAGGCGGCATACATTTTGAACATGTAATTAAATAATATGTATTTTTCTTACATTCTAGTCGCGTGTTTACATTCAGTAATCTCTTTGGAATCAAATAATGGTTGCACTACCAAAGTCAAAAGCTAAGTACTTCACATTTCCACTTCTGTAAATCGAGTAATATGTTAATAAAAATATCATGTAACATGTGTTTTGAATTCGTCTCGATGTCCTCTAAAGCTATGAATAAAAAAATGTATGTTCCTATTTAAAAAACCCAAGGTGACCTTGACTTTGCCAAGAGAACAAACTGTTTTCAAAATTTGCTTTATTAATATCTATTGTGCACTTCATGCCCTGCAAATATTGTTGCAAACTTTTTTTCGTAAGGTGATTGCAAGTGGAAGAAAAATTGTGAGTAGCGTTATAGGCAACACCCGGTATATGCACAAATAAAATATATAATTATAAGGATATCGAATTTCTTAATACCAATTTTACATCACTTTTAAGTCACTTTCTTTTAATTAGAGTATTAACTTCGATTTTCGTCATGTTTTGATAAAATTTATTTATGTGTATTTTAACTAAGAGATTCAAGGTTGATAAGTAAGAAATTACTTTGTTTCGATGAAGTGTCATTCAATGTATGAAATATCCAGTTTGCTTTGTTTCAATGAAGTGTCATTCAATGTATGGAATATCCAGTTTCATTTTTTTAAATTTTGTTTTTTCTCTTCATACGATTATCTAATCTGAACTATTAGTCCTTATCGAACATAAGGAAAAATTTAAAAAGCATTTTAAGTAATAAAAGTACAGGAGATATTATCGGGAATGTATCGATAACATTACCAGCACAGCTGAATATACAAAATATGAAAAATCTCAATAACAAAGTTTTCAATAACAAAATTATTTAAAACTATTATTTTCTGTTTTATTTGACAATCTTTACAATGTTTTCATAACTTATTTATTCGATATAGAAAAAGTATGGGTATGAAGAGAAAATGTTCACATCCTGTAATGTTCTTTGAATCAATGACTTTTGAACAGTACTTTATTTTTGAAACATCTTATATATTCACGTAATTTGCAGACGTCTTTAACTTTGCACTTCCAAATTACGTTAAAATTATAATAAAATTAAGTTCTTGTATCGTACATCATATTATTTAAAAGTTTATAATTAGTTTTATTTGCTTCTTTCGCGAATACGAGATTTACTATGCCCTCAAACTTAAGATTGAATAATTGATCAAACGTAGGTGTTCCTAGTAAGTGATAAAATCTTATAATTTTTATTATTTAACTGCAATAATTGCATACATCGATTTATTGTACTTACCTATCATAGGACTCATCATTACGACAAATAAACCTTTTGAAACCATAAATATTCCGAAAGCACTGGGTAACTTTTTCAAGGAGCAACATTCCGAGACGCTGAGGTTCAAATTTACTAAAGTGGCTCCGCGTAAGAATCCTATTACCACAAATATTATTATCAAGGTTATTCCTTTGGATTGCTCTGCCATAACTGGAAAGAGAAAAGAGAAAGAAAAAGTTATATACTTTCAAAATGTTCTTCTTTTAACACATTGAAAAAATTGTAAAGACTTTATAAATAACTCATGGAAATTATATTATATCTGCGATACAATTATTTTGCCATTAACATACTTAAAATTCATCACAACAATAGATATCATATTAAAATCGAATAAAGTGTCAAGAAATTGGAAAATAATATTTAATATATTTTGCTGAAATAATTCAAAGTAGGTACAAAATAGAAATATGACAAAAAGCAGAAATCTTGGACGATTCTTTACATTTTTGCAAAGGGAAATCTTATTCAGAATCACGTCAGCTAGCCACCATTTTAGGGACCTACACTAATTGAGATACCCTGTATGTTTTCATACTTTAACAGCTTTCTTCCTCTGAAATAATGTTTCATTTGTCAAATTAGCGATTGCTGAACACTTTCAATTATTTCAACTGTGTTATAAATAATAGTAAATGCATTTTGAATACATTCCCAAAATTATTGTTCAAGTAAACAATAATTGTCATTGTAATTATAATACTTATACAGAACAACGGATTGTGACAAATTTTGTTCACAAATCTGCGAAAGCTTATATCTTCCCAGTAAATAGTATAAATAGTATATGTACATATCATAAATTTCGAAAATTAAGAAAAATGAAAATACGTACTAGATCGTCCAATTCCAACCAGCATACAAAATATCCAGAATACGGTTCTCTTCTTAAAACCTAATCTGTCAAAGATGGTCGGCAATATAAGTCTGGCAAGAATGTCGGTGAATGCAGTTATCGACAAGCAAGAAGCAATTTCTCCGTTCGTCATTCCTATTGACCATTATTTTCCTTCGAGATATCTACTGAAATCCTAAAAAATGCCGCACAGTGGAACGAAACCCGAAAAAACGCAACAAATCATCGAAAAATCGATCTTGTTAGAATTTTAATGTTTTGGTAATGTTTCTTATGTCACTCATTATCTGTGTATTCTACATTTACTTTTAATTAATTCAAATAATTAAAACATCTAAATTGAATGTAGCAAGTTAAGCAGCAAATTAATGTGACGTTTTCTAGAAGATGGATATTTTGGTAAGATCAAGGTTCAATTTCCCAATCTCCCAATTTTCCAACCTCTAAATTTCTCAATTTCCCAATTTTCCAATTTTGCAATTTTCCAATTTCCTAGTTTCCCAATCTCTCAATTTCCAAACCTTCCAATTTCCCAATTTTCCAATCTCCCAATTTCCCAATTTTCCAAACTCCTGAACTCCCAATTTCCCAATTTTCCAATCTCCCAATTTCCCAGTTTCCCAATCTCCCAATTTCCCAATTTCCCAATTTTCGAATCTCCCAATTTCCGAATTTCCCAATTTCCCAATTTCCCAATTTTGCAATCTCCCAATTTTTCAATCTCCCAATTTCCTAATTTTCCAATTTCCCAATTTCCCAATCTCCCAATTTCCCAATTTCCCAATTCCCAAGCCTTGCAATTTCCCAATTTCTCAATCTCCCAATTTCCCAATTTCCCAATTTCCCAACGTTCCAATTCCCAAGCCTTGCAATTTCCCAATTTCTCAATCTCCCAATTTCCCAATTTCCCAATCTCCCAATCTTCCAATCTCCCAATCTTTCAATTTCCCAACTTCCTATTTCCTCAATTTCCCAATCTCCCAATTTCCCAATCTCCCAATTTCCCAACGTTCCAATTCCCAAGCCTTGCAATTTCCCAATTTCTCAATCTCCCAATTTCCCAATTTCCCAATTTCCTAATTTCCCAATTTCCCAATTTTCCAATCTCTCAATTTCCCAATCTCCCAATCTCCCAATCTTCCAATCTCCCAATCTTCCAATTTCCCAACTTCCTATTTCCTCAATATCCCAATCTCCCAATTTCCCAACGTTCCAATTTCCCAATTTCTCAATTTCTTAATTTCTCCATTCCCTAATTTCCCGATTTTCCATTTCCCCAATGTTTCCAAATTCCTAAATTTGTCAATTTTTTAATATTTCAAAAATTTCCAAATTCCTAAATTCCCTTTGTTCTGAATTTTCCTACCCTTAAATTATCAAAATCACAAATTCCTAAATTTTTGAACCACGTGGTACCTAAATTTCCGAATCTTTACACCTTTAAAGTCCTAAATCTTCAAACTCCTTAATTTGTTATTTATTGAATCAAATTCTTTCATTTTCAAATTACAATCTTGGCAAATTCCTAAATTTCCAAAATTCCAAATTCCCTCCAAGATAGTTACAAACATGCTATTGGGTAGTTACTGGATGTACAAATACGAAACTCGATAAATCCTGTATTATATTGCAATCGAAGGCTCCGTTTTCAAGATATAAGTGATTAAAAAGTGAGTATTCGGTTTCTACTATATGAACATTGATCACGTGCTCACGAGATAGCATCATTCACGTAAAGTAGCACGTGTAGATACGCGAAAATGCTTACGCACAAGCATTTATCATATGTCGATCATATTATGATAATAATGTATATACATAACCGTATCTGATATTCTAAGTACAATCGAAAGTAAATCACATCTTACTGTTAATGCTTCTTACAGTTTTCAGAGTCCTCAATATTATTATTGCTTGCACTCGGTATATTTCTCATTTTTTAGTAGCCTGAATATTTTTGGCATGTTTAGTATTCTGTATGAATTATGTGTTTTATGTCGTGCATTAACAGATTCACTTTGTAATCAATTTTAAATAAAACTCGTTCTTGTAATACAATTTTGATAAATAGAAAATTTTACTTAAACAGATATTTTAACTATCCTTAACCCAGTTTATAGCATTTTGATACGTTATGATTTATTTTTTCCAGTTTTAATTATTTTACCTCTGTATGTGGATTCTATACGTCGTATCTATTACAGAGCAAAATTTCGATAATTTCCTGCGCCAGGGGCTTCGGGAACAGTGAAACCTATTGCGTAATGCTGCATTAAGTTCATAGATTTATAATTGATGTACCCACACGTGAATAAATAAATAAATGAATAGAAGTTCGTATTTGGGAATTTATCTAACACGAGTATATCGAAATTCATTACATTGTTCCATATTATAATATAACAAGTGATTTCGCGATTTCATAGTATGTTTTCTGTTACTCTACATATTATTATACTTGAAATAAATATTCCACGATCGACTTTTTGATCATTTATTGCGTTTTCCCGGGTTTCGTTCCACTGTGTGCCGTAGCTAGGATGCTAAATAATAGAAATTCATCAGATCTTTACTAATAATATAAAAAGATGGTAAAACGCCAATTTTTCTCATACACGTCCGGTTTTGCGATTTTTATATGGAGGTGAAGTTGCGAAACATTTCAAGTTTTCTAAGAAATTACTGAAAGCAGAAAAATTGAGTAACCTTCGAAATTTGAATAAAATCAATTTTTGATTTATAAAAGCCGATTTGTTATAGCTATATATCATTCATTAAATAGAAAATAAGACAGAAAGAAGAAAAGAGAACAGTAAATACATAAAATTGATTATTCGCATATTTCATTAAAATCTGTGGAATGTTTCAGAAAATGAAATATAAAAACAAATAATAATTGTCACGAGAATTTTAATCTCCTTCAATTAATAACAAACACAAGCAAAAAGTTCTAAATTTATTTAAACGATTAGTCGATGAATTTTCACGAGAATTTCAATATTTCTTAATAACATCCCTTGCTACGGTACAGATCTTCAGTTTCACGTTTCAAAATGGTACTTACCTATGCTGGAGAGAAAAAATGGCGTCATCAATTTGAAATTTGACTCAGCTACGTAATAAAGACTCGAACCGATAACAACATTCAGATATACTCCATCTTTGAGCAAATCCAAGTCGAAAGTTTCTTTTATTTTCTCCATGTAATTGTCTTTTGGTTTACTGATTTCTTTACTCGTTTTATTCTTTATGACGTCGTATTTTGTAACTTCTACACCGTTCTCCATCTTCTTCAGCGTAGTGTCGCCATTTTTTTTCAGCAATGTTTCACTTTCTGGTGGATCTATGTCCTGAATAAATAAGCTGCCATTTAGAGACCTCAGATTTGTTTAAAATTAAATTTGATTAATACTTTAGGGGAAAGTTTAATACTTTATAACAATGTGTACAGGTGTAAAAATGTATTATTTTCGTTTTTGTTTCAGTTTATTGAAATTTTCATGATATTTGTTAAGAGTTCTATTAATTTACGTGTAGCCTACATATATAAGCTTTCACAAATGACTATATCATAGTATTTAAGAGGATCGTATATTTTGAAAGTGGTGTAAGTCCATTTTTATCTATTTTGAGAAAATTACATGTCAATGAAAAAATATGTATAAGTTAATTATATCGACTCAGCTATTTTTTTACTCATTGATCAATATGTAATTTGATTATAGAAACTAGTGGAATGCCCCGTGCTATGCACGTGGAATTAATCAGTTATAATATAAATTTGGAAGAAAGGTCTAATGAGGCACTCTTAACGATGACATAACTAGTTTTTAAATTGAAGTAATTTTGATTTATTCGAAAATTTGTTGGATCCGCGATTATCTCATAAAAATCTTGACCCCCTGCGCAGTCCTAAACCGTAAAAGATAGACATGCCCAGTAAATTTTTACAAAGAAAGTAATCAAAGAAAAAGTAGTCGAAGCACCCACAATGATGACGTAATTAGTTTTTATGTATCCCTTAAAAAGTGTCCCTTAATAAGGGTTTTACTGTACTATCATTGTAAGCGTATACATATAATATTTTTCTGCCTTGTTTTCGAGCATGCGTACAACGTCTCAGCGTAACTCAGACATGTTTCTGCGTTATAATATGATGATGATGGGAATTTTTGAATTATTAAGGAAAAACGAAGCTTCCAACCCCATTTTTGTAAAGGGAAATCTTATTCAGAATCACGTCAGCTACCCCCCATTTCATACACTAGTTGTGAGACACCTTGTAGTTGCGTGTATACGTATGTAATGACACCATAACATAGCTTGCTCCGTGTTCTAAATAGAATTAGAACGCTGTTAAATAATTTTTATCCATGTCAGTTCGAAGAGTACGCTAACTTATCTGTTTCACGAAACTTGTTAAATTTCTAATATTTTTATTGTTGACGGTTTAACTTTTTATGTCATTATTGTTATCTACTCTGTTAAATATGTACTAATTTAGAGATTACTCATTTTTGTAATTGTTTATTTTAAAGCACATGTTATTAATTTCGATGACTTCGAAGTAATTTACGCAGCGTTAAAAAGTACTTTAATATCTCGAAAATTGAGGTCAATTTTGATATGTAGAAAAGTGTTCGGTATATTTAAAAATCACTGAAGTCGATAAGATTTAATAACTACTATAATCTAAACTAATGTACATTCATGCAAATAGACTTACACTACTTTCAAAATAAATGATTCATTTATATCTGGGTACCTTTTTACATGAAATGTCGATATTGTAAAAATATAGAAATTTGATGAGTGAATATTATTTTATAACTTGATGCAGTTAATTTAGAGACATTGTTATTTCAAGATAAAGTTTTGTAATAAAAGAGATATTTATATGTATAGTATAGTGTAAGAATTATGTACAATAGTATTGCTTGGATAGAAATTTACTAATACATCTGAAGAAATAGATAAGTAAAGAAAATTTGAAGTATACAGCTAAGATTGTAAAAGATTAACAGTATCGATTACGCGTATATATCATAAAATGTGATTACAGTTAATCCCGACCTGTTCTTATTTGAAGAGTAACGATCAGTATTAATTTCAAGTGTTATAAATATCTCCATGTTTTTTCTTGACTGATTCATTTGATTAGCTACGTCATTTTCAGAAAATTTAATCTGATGTATACTAACGTAAGAAGAGAGACTTACACTGTTATTTAATTGTTACATTATGACAGAATTTTGAAATAAAATTTTTAAGCAAATATACCTAATTTATAAATTATTATATTTACTTTCAACGAAGTCCCTAAAAAATATCCGTAAACATTCTTCAAACTTATTTAAAATTATGATGAATACATGATGTGCGCATTGCTCGATTTCAAAATATAACAAATATTTAATAGCAAATTGTTTTTATGACAGTTAACATCAAATGGTACAGGTTACTACAGTTAACAACAAATAACTGATACATTGATTTAGGCCACTTTCGAAATAAACTCATGAATGTATTTTATTTGTACGTTACCGTTTTAATATCTTTTGCATCTCGAACATCGAGTGGACGAAGTAAGCAGGCACCAACAGCCGAATGTAACGCCCATCCTCCAATTACCAACATCGCTCCACGGAATCCATAAGCACTTAAAAGAATGTGTATTAACTACACAAAAACAGGAAAATTGATTTTATAAATATATTAATATAATTATTTAATCAGTAACAGAATGCTGCATACATAAAATGCATTGGGGTGAATGAACACTAAAGATTTTTAGAGATGAATCCTACAATACAAGAAGAGATAACTTTTGTTTGGAAGGAAAAATAATTAGAGTAAATATGTATGATAAATAATAGGTAATTATTAAAAAAGAAATTGTAGAGTTTAAGAAAAAAAATAATGCAAAATTAAGAATGTTGTAAACTTAAGAAGGCTGTAAGGTGAAGTGGGGTAAGTGCAGACTGGTTTTTATAAAGTTGGTATTTAAACGCAAGTATTTTCAGTCTGCCATGTAAATACTTAACGCTGTCGATATCGAACGCTTTGCACAATTACTACTATTTAATTAATATTAACTAGGACCTTAATTTTCCTTGTACATTTTGATTTTGATAGGAAATCGTTTAAAATGTCAATTACTCTGCACTTTCCCCGAAAATGGGGTAAGAGCGTAACTTGAAGTTAAATACTTTGAAACTTTATTTCATGTGCAATGGGGCAACAGCAAAATTGTTAACAAACCTGCTATAAAATGCTTTTTACTGCATTATGCAAGTACTCTATACTGCAAACAAGTACTCTTAGCTGAAATATAAAAGGGGATACAGTGAAACAAAACAAGGAAACAAACATACTAAATGAAGAAATTTCGCTCATATTGTAATAAAAATAGTCTGTATACGCACTTGCCCCGTTTACGAACTTACCCCACTTCACCTTATATAAAGTTTGATAATAATAAAAATACTCGTTAACAAATATACATTAATATTACTGGACAAATTATAGTTGTTCATATTATAAACAATATTCGATATACATTTATTTTTAAGCGATTTTGTACCAGGATGTTATACCGTTATGACAATAATTTATGAGCAAGATGGTCGAATCATTTGTATCATTAATAAGTTCAATATTTTTGTTCGTTTCTTATATATTGAAAATAGTATGTACGCGGGAAAGAAACTAAGAAAACAAAGAAAAATACGTAGAAAGGAAAACAAAGTGATTCAGAAATGTCCATACCTGTGGTACCAGCATCATAGCTAAAGTTGTGCCTGCCATAGAAAAACCAACAGCTTGTCCTCTCTTTTTATCAAAAAATGTATTCAACGCAACGAAAGCTGATGCGATCGCTAATCCAGTTCCTAAACCTATTATAAATGTTAATAAACATAAATTTTAATAAATAAAATCTTTTTTTCTAAACAAAGTTTGTGTTGTAAACAAATATAAATAAGTTTGTGAACCACTTTAAAATTGTATTTTATTAACATCTAAAGAATTTAAAGAATTTAAATAAAAACAAATAATAAAAAGGAACTGTGAATAATCAATAAATTTTTTGTGCTAAATATCTGATCTTTTTTTTTAAATTCCTGAAAGATTTTTATTAAAAAATAAAACTTGTTGTTTTAGTAAATAATAAATAATGTAAAATATCGAAGATGGAATAGAAAATTATAGATTAAAATTGTATGAATATTTTCGAACGCATACCTCCTAAAATACTGTAAGTACAAACGATGTGAATCATGCTGTTAGCTCTTGAAGTAAGTATTAATCCAGTACAACTCAAGACAGATCCAAAAAAGGCTACCTGTCTGTAAGAATATTTCTTCAACAACGGTCCTATTAATAGACCTAAATTAAACAAGAATATTAACACTAAATATTTACGATCAAATTTCGATAGAATAATTTCATTTGAAACAAGTTTGATAATAATAAAAATACTCGTTAACAAATATACATTAATATTACTGGACAAATTATAGTTGTTCATATTATAAACAATATTCGATATACATTTATTTTTAAGCGATTTTGTACCAGGATGTTATACCGTTATGACAATAATTTATGAGCAAGATGGTCGAATCATTTGTATCATTAATAAGTTCAATATTTTTGTTCGTTTCTTATATATTGAAAATAGTATGTACGCGGGAAAGAAACTAAGAAAACAAAGAAAAATACGTAGAAAGGAAAACAAAGTGATTCAGAAATGTCCATACCTGTGGTACCAGCATCATAGCTAAAGTTGTGCCTGCCATAGAAAAACCAACAGCTTGTCCTCTCTTTTTATCAAAAAATGTATTCAACGCAACGAAAGCTGATGCGATCGCTAATCCAGTTCCTAAACCTATTATAAATGTTAATAAACATAAATTTTAATAAATAAAATCTTTTTTTCTAAACAAAGTTTGTGTTGTAAACAAATATAAATAAGTTTGTGAACCACTTTAAAATTGTATTTTATTAACATCTAAAGAATTTAAAGAATTTAAATAAAAACAAATAATAAAAAGGAACTGTGAATAATCAATAAATTTTTTGTGCTAAATATCTGATCTTTTTTTTTAAATTCCTGAAAGATTTTTATTAAAAAATAAAACTTGTTGTTTTAGTAAATAATAAATAATGTAAAATATCGAAGATGGAATAGAAAATTATAGATTAAAATTGTATGAATATTTTCGAACGCATACCTCCTAAAATACTGTAAGTACAAACGATGTGAATCATGCTGTTAGCTCTTGAAGTAAGTATTAATCCAGTACAACTCAAGACAGATCCAAAAAAGGCTACCTGTCTGTAAGAATATTTCTTCAACAACGGTCCTATTAATAGACCTAAATTAAACAAGAATATTAACACTAAATATTTACGATCAAATTTCGATAGAATAATTTCATTTGAAACATATTTTCTAGATGTAACGTAGATATTACAAAAATGTTAATACAAGAATTAATTTACGTAACGTAAATTGTTTATATAGTGTCCAAATAAATTAAAGTTTAATTGCAAAATTCGATACATTACCGACCAAAAAACGTGGCAGATTTTTTCAATAAAAATTTAGAATGGAAGTAATAAAAGATGTCTATTGTATTATATTCGGTGTTGTACGCGAAATAATTATCTTCTGCAAACGATTACTATAAATATAGAGAACGATTCAGAGTATCTTCACGTGTTAGTAGTAAAAACTCGGAAGACAAGTTTGCGATAATTATGTTTGCGATATTAAGTGATAAAAATAGTAAAAGCAAATTATTTCTGACGAACAGAAAATTCTAAGTTAAAGACCTACAATGTTGTAACCTTACTGACATCTTGATACACGAATATATAAATGGAAGAGATTAACTGTTTATATTTAATTTTATTATGAATTAAAGTATAATTTTATTAATATTATAAATTTAATAACAATGAGAGTGTTATGAGCCTCCTTTTTTATTTGAAATTATATAATCAAATGTTATTTCATTAGGAAACCAATGTTTCAGTCTTTGAAGAAAGCCATCATCCAAATTGACACATTTCATAATTTTATGTATCAAAATTTGTACAGTAATTACATACTGAGTTAGAATATTACATATTTTTGTAAATTATAATTAGAAATTAAAATTGAAATTATGTTCTGTAAATTACTGCACGAATGAAAATATTACGTCTACATTAAAATTATCATTTTACTAAATATATAATGAAAGTATCTATGTTAATAAAATATAAATTACCTTTTACTTTATTGTCTTAACGTATTAAGTAATATATTCTCTTATTATTCTATGTAATGAAATATTAAAAAGTTCCTAAGGAAGATGCCTATTAAGAATTGATATATTTGCTTAATAATTCAAAAACGAAGCTTCAAACCTCATTTTTGCAAAGGGAAATCTTATTCAGAATCACGTCCTCTACCACTCCGTTCCAGGAGGTTAAGGGGTGGTAGAGGACGTTAGGTTAGGTTACACGAGTTGTGAGACACCCTGTATTGATTTCTGAGTAGAACAATTAATTACATAATTGTTGCAATACACAGTTACAGTAACAACAGAAAAACAAAGCAGTTGATCCTAATGACGCAATTCAGAATATTCTCTTTAAATTATAAATTATCTGCTCTTTACAAAATTATAAAGAATTATAAATAACGTTTTGCAGTCAGAGTTATAGAATATAACTTTCAATGATGTGAATTTGTACCTTTGGTCGGTAATGTACACAGGAAAATTGTTTATATATATGAAATTAAAATACCTGAAAAATTAACGATAGCATCGAGTATGCTCATTATTAACGATGTTCCTGTCGAGTCTACTTCAAGTTCTTCCAAAGGATCGTGAAAAAGGAGACCGAAAGAAGGATCCAACGATCTCAAAGAGAGCTGAAGAAAATTCAAGAAAAGAACATTTTCCAATTAAAAGAATTTTTTTACTAAATTATTTATATTATTCTAGTTAAACTTTTACTCGTAAAGAACAAAATATTGTACAACTTGCAAATTTTATATAATAATTGTAACTTTTATGGGAACTTAATTATTCTTTTATATCTACAATATTTATAAAATTCATAGTATTAATACTATTAATAATAAATAATAATTTATAATACTATTAATAATTAATAAGTACAATTAATAATATTAATATTAATAGTAAAATGCAATAAATAAATGAAATAAAATAAAGTATTTAAAAGTCAACATAAATCAGCTTAAAAATAAACATCCTACAATATTATTTAAGAATTGTTATTGTTCATAATCGCTCGTATATTCTGTTTTATATACGTTGCTTATACGATTTCTTATAATGGATGAATCATAATCGACATCAGGTATAAAATGATGGAAAAATGAGAGTACACAATACTTAAGTAAGGATTAGTAAAAAGCGACATTATCAAAATTTTTATTTACTCAGTGAGGTAAAACACTTAAGGGAGCTTAGATCTGAGCTAAATGATTATATAAGTCTAATTTTAAATTATATCGGTACTTAGAGAACGTTTCCCTTGCTTTTAATAGAAAGAATATAATATAAGACAGCATGTAATTTGTTAACTAACTCATTCATAATCTCCAAATGGGGATTTATACGACATACTTTTTCCTTCATTACTTGCAATAGAACTATATTTAATAAAATGTGTATAGTATGTGTTTTTACATTTTTGAAACTTATTTTTTATTTCAATTTTACCTATAAAAATATTTGACGTATAAATTTACAGTTCATGCAAAATTATTTTTTGATAAAATTAGGCATTCAATGAGTTAGTATTATTTTATAATTCTTGAAAATGTGTGAACATGAGGATCGTGTGGATCATGTTTAGTAATATAAATTTATCTATATATAATTTTATAAGTATAATCAAATAATTGAAGAAAAGAGAAAGCAAAGAAAATAGCAAGTAAAATGTATAAATATAAAAATGAAATAACCCTATACGTTAATAGTGATTATAATTATAGCGTGCAGCTTTATATACATGCGTCTGACGCACTGCAGCATTTAATGTGTTAATTGAGTGGAGAATACGCGAACTGAGCCGTTAATTAACACCTGGACAACCATATATTTTGTAGGATTTATGATTCGTAAAGTTTTATGTTCTTCGGTATAATTTATACGTCTTTAAATTTCAATTACTGTACAATAAAATATAGTGGCGCGAGATAAATCATGGTAATGTGACAAAATCATGTGTTAAAATCTTAAATATCTTAGGTAAAATAGTATCTGAAATAATTAATACAAATATTTTGAGAAACTCTTTTCTTTACTGTATCAAATTGACAAAATTGGGATATCAATATATCTTTATATAAATTGAAGAATTACTGAATTAATTATCTTTATTTATTAGTTTAAAGTGTTTGTTTAAACTTCTGGAATAAGTGTTTAAAATTCACATTTTTTAGTTTGAATTTATATTGGTTAATTGAATTAAATATTTTATGAAATTTTATTTGAAACTTTAAAATATATTTTAGACGGAAAGAAAATGTTTAGTGTTAGATACTCTCGTGTTAGATAGTGTCAGATAATCGACAATAATTTTTGCAACATTTGGAACATAATAACGCATCTTTCGTAATATTTGACAAACACGAAAATTTACGATGTCTATTGTCTACTAGATATTATTAATTTACTGTACATTCATATAATAAGTTTACTCGTTGTTGCCAGCAGAGAAATTTATTTCATTTTATAATACGTAATATTAATTTATAATATTAATTAATTAATAATATTAAATAATACTAATATAGACATTTAATATACACATTTACTGTTCGCAAATATACATACACAACTATTTCTAGAAAAACTAGCTCATTAAAATTCATCAGTTTACTCATCAGCAAACATGATGCGAACGTTGTTCTTTGAATAAAAATGTATTTGTTTTCTCGTACATCTTTTTCGTTACTTTTCTTCTTGCATATAAATAGTACTTGTAATGACCGATGTGAGGTCAAAGGAATAAAATATTATTTAAAACAGATTTCTAGTAAAAATAGTTGTTTCTATTAATTACTTACTATTATAAACATTTGTATCTGTACTTAGATTTTCAATAAAGTTCTTATGTTTCTTAATTATCAAACTGCATATGCTTTAAGAGAAAAAGTAGTAACCACGAAAATTACATTTTCAAAGTGTTCGATCCACATTTTGGATTAAAATCTCTGTTGGTAAAAACGGAAAGAAATTTCTCTGATAGCTGATATTATTATCAAGTAAAATAAATTATCAAATAACCTCTTGAGCAAAAATCTGTATTTTTCATTATCAAGATAAATGAATACTTTCTTCTGTTTAAACTCGTATCTATTATTAACAAGTAAAATAAATAGTTTTTTCAGTGTGAGTTTGAATTTTATTATTTTCACGTTAAATAAATCAATTATTTTATTCAAATCGATGTTTGTTAATATTAACTAAAATATATAAATAAATAAATAAATTAATACTGTTTAGTGAGGAAGTGCACTTGTCAGTACTAAATAAAATAAATTAGCAAGATATTGCTTCTGGCCAAAGAATTTATTTCCAAGTAAACTAAAATATTTTCCTTAGTCAAAATTCATTATTATGAAGTAAAATAAATGATTAAACACTCTCTTCACTCAAAGTCTCCTAAATTTCAAATAAATCGTAAAATAGTCGGTTATAAGCAGAATTTACAATCAATCAAAACGAATCAAATACTTTAATCAAACTAAACTAAATTTACTCAAAGTATCAACTAAAATGATCAAATACACATAAAATACTAAAAGTAATTTAACTTGTTTCCCACAGAATACGCTAATACACTACTTTTTTCAAATATACTAAGCGCGAAAAACACCTATCGTTACGCTACAAAACAGCCGCAATCGTGTAAGCAGTTATCTACAACCGGAAAAGCGATATACCGAAACTTTAAATAGAAAACTCACAAATAAAAATAAAAAAAAAAACTTACCGAAATCAAACTGCTTCCCAGACAAACGAACCATCCCCAGCCACCATCGGGCGCTTTTTTCTTAACCTCTCCAGGATTCATCATCTTGTGTTCGCACTGTTCACCAGCATAGGAGCGAGTTCAACGAATGGTACGTTTAAGAATTCGCAAAGTATCGCGTCGAAAGGCCAGATTCTCGTGATCGTGGTTGATTATCACATGTCGCGAGGTATAGGTTGGTCACCGCCTCTTCATTCACTGCTCAATGATCCGATACGTACTCCCGGTAGACCGGCTCCGCGATTTCCCTCACTTCTGGCTTCGATTATGCTTGGCAAGGCACTGTCATTCTACGACGAACCGATTCGTTCTTCGTTAGCTTCTCTTTGTTCCGTTCACGGAAAAATACGTGTCACCTTATTTTTTTTTCTGGACTACTGTCCAGCGAGCGCCAAAACATCGAGTCGAAATTATCCGAGAGTGAAAGAAACTTCACTTTTACGACGCATTATAGACTCCGATGGCGTGCGTTAATATATGGATGTCACATAATTATCGCTGTTGAGTATAAAAGAGGAACGGGACAATCGTAAACATTGACCTTGCAAAAATATTCAGACAGCTATTAAATTTGCCGACCGTTATGGTTGCTCGATTAGATGATACGACGTCATTGTATGCAAACTTGATATAAAGTGCGAGAAATGCAGTCTAATTCGGAATCTCTGGACTAATGGAAATCGAATTCTGGAAGTATTTTGTTCAATATTTATGAGCTTTTTATGTATGAGTAAACAGAACAGAAGATTTGTTTGATTAATTCGAGCTGGGAGCTTGTGATTATAATAAAGTATAACCGTGAAAATCATATGGAGTACGTACTTCATATATGTACTTCAGAAAGGAATAATAATAGAAATTATTGAAGAAGAAAATTCAAAAATTGAGTATACTTTAATTGGCAGCTTTAACAGACTTTAACATTAACAGGCTTCGAGAATCCATTATAAAATACATTCTGATATTTTACATTGATTTCAGTGTATTTAAACTTTCAATCAAATGAAGTCTTAAAGAAAATGTACATTGATTTCAGTGTATTTAGACTTTCAATCAAATGAAGTCTTAAAATGTACATAATAGCAGAATACTTCCTTGAAAACTTTTCTAAGTGCAACATTTTGAATTAGATGAATCCTCATTCATTTGTCATTGTCAATTACTTTATTCTTGCATCGTAGAGCGATTAAATATTGAAACTGTCATTGTAAGCAGTTGAGTTACCATGAATAGCGCGTCAGTCAAATGTCACTTGAAAATGTAGTGACTTTTGTACCTGTACATGTATGAAGTCAAATTTAGGAAAAATATTCAAAACGCAGCAGTGGATTTTGGAGAACAATTTGTAGAAAAGCATACGATGTGTATCGATTGTATATAAAAATGGCGATCGAACGTGATGAATGTAGCAAATTAAATTATAGTGCAAGTTTCTTGTGATTTTTATTCGGTCTGAAAAAAGTACTGAGATAAGTGCTATGTTCTTTGAGCTTGTATAACATATGTACATGTATCGAATGAACGTTTTGCTGAAGTTATGAATCACTACTTCCTTGGAATAATTATAACAGCTCCGAGAACAATTAAAATCGTACCAAATCAAAATATTATTCCAAGTAGTTAGAGTGAACGTTAGTTAGAATATAATTCATTTCTAGAAAATTTCAAGGCTGTAATATTGGAGAAACAACAGTTGAATCTTATTTGAAGTAACTGTTAACGCGAAATAAATTTATAGAATAATAAATTAAAAATGTAAGATTGGTTAAAATACGAGAAGTGGAATTTATGAACGTTTCTTTGTAATTTTTATGTGCAGCTTCAGTAACGTAAATGTGTTAATTTTTACGACTTAGAGACGTAATGCTGACAAGAATTATAATTATGAAACCAGTAGAACGTGTATTCTTTTTAATGCGAAAATTATTACAGTATTTAAACAAAGATGAGGTATTACAGAGATTTTCAATTATACAGGTTTGGATAAAAATGTCTGCGATGCTTGAAATTTCTTGCAGAAAAAGCGAAGTTCATATGACTTAGTTAATATTCTTTTGCAATTAGATAAGTTAATGATCTACTAAAAGACTAGATAAGACGTTTGCGTCGGCGTGTAAAAAGTACACGTATGTTAATGTAAATGTCTGGAAATGCATATGTACATGTAGATGTGAAAACACCGTTTCTTAATGCACTCATATCAATATAGCTAATGAATTCCAATATTGAAACGACTACAGTTATAAGAACCTTCTTCCTCTCACAGCGTTTCAACAATCTATTCAATGAAGTCGTATTTAAATTCAAGATTCTCTGTTTGCAGTTAGTTTGCAGAGTGTGAAAGAAGAAAACAATTTTTTTCGTATGAGATCTCTGCAGTTAAAAATATTGAAAGCTTGGAGAGCTTCATAAAAGATTCGTTTCTTATGAAATTAGTTTTACTGTGTACACGAATGAATCTCTCAAATCTCACAATTCAATCCTTTTCTTTTGCTTATGACATTCCATAATTTATTTCTACATGTCTGACACAGATATAAAAAAAATCGCTAAAATTACATAAATGAAAAATCGTTAAAATTGCATAAATCACATAAATTTTCGTTATAATTTGTTAAATTCTCAAATCACTTAAAACTATAAATAAATTATAAATTTTGAAACAATAATTCTAAGAACGCTTCATCTCAACGCGAAAACACCGAACATTGAACTGCGCATGTAACAGTGAATACATTATTACGTAAAATAATTAATTTTTCATGCAATGATAAAAGCTGTATATTCCAATAAAAGAGTTTCACACGTATAAAATTTGAAACAATCACAAGTTTCTATGATTGCTGTTATTGAAAACATTCTATTGTACAAGTTTTTCCTTGTTTCTTAAGATAGAAAAATATAAAAATATATTACTCTTCTCTATGTATCAATCTCCTCAGTTAATCGATTAAATATATCTAAATAAATAAATAAATGAAGCAAATCTATATTAAATTACTTCAAAATTAAATGACTTCAAACATTCAAAATTGATGACATAATTAGTAAAATTAATTAGCTGCCTAAAACATACGGTACGAAATAACAAAATTTCACGTATAATTATCGATAATTATAAAGGAGTTAACGGAAAAAAGATATCGTTAATCTTCCCGTCACCGTAACTCTTGTTTTCAATTTTAATTTACACAAACATATACAAATTGTATATTTTCCGCTGTATAACGAATTGCCATTCCGAAACGAAACTAAACGAGTGAATTCATATTCGATTACTGTAATTGCAGCAATTTTGAGTAAGAAGTTTAATTATATGTTACCTAAGCCTACAATTTTTTTCTTTCATGGAAGATTATCGGAAGAAGAAAAAACTCAGAATATTTTTCCACGAACTGGATCTCGATGCGTCTTCTAAACGATTCCTGAGATCATGAGTGTCAGAAATGCTGAAGAATCAGTGCCGGATTTTGGTTCATCGTTATCGATTTAACCATCGTTATCATTAATATCAATTTTCATTGTAAATTTTCCATTTCATTTTTATACGTAAAACGTTTTATAGTTTGCAATGTTTATAATATACAGAGAAAACGGATATCTTAAGAATGAAAAATATTTTATAACCAATTAATTGTGTATATAAATTGTTTACTATTATTTATGTGTACAATATGCTATTTACTATTTAGCAATATATATTTCAAGGTTTACATTTTTATTCATATATGCATTTTGACATATGTAAGTGAAAATGAAATGGTAATATACATTTTATATATTTTATTTATACTGCCCGTACAAAATGTTACTCATGTTATTTGTACGTGTATTTTATTATAGCTAACTCGTTAATTATGGTAATGTACAAATTATTATTAATAAAAATTATATACATAATCTGCATACTCTGCTCAACTGAACCAAAATTCAACTGAGTTGAGTTTGAATTCAAAATGAATTCAAAATTCATTTTTTATTATACATAAAAGATTCACAATCTAAAGGTAAAGGTTTGTTCTTTCAATTTTGCCCAATACTTTTTGTTAAAAGACCTTAAACCCTGTACGTAGGGTATAAAAAGGGTGAAGTTGAAAAAAAGTGTTCTCAAGTACTGGAGAGATGAATAAAAATCAATGTGTGGCGTTTTAGGACTGAACAATATATTTTAAGCATTTTTCTAAGTTCAATGCTATATTCTATATAACAATCTCTTGCACAAATATTTAATAAATAGTAAGTTGGGGGTGATCTTCAAAAATCTATGAAAATATAAATTTACGAAGTGCAAATTTGTTCCAAACAGATTTCCTACGAAGTTACTAATTTTGTGAGGACCTTATCGTTACAACCCCCTGCAAGTTGTTCACAGCAACTTCTTCCTAAATACCCGTATTTAAAATGGTAAAAGCAAAATACGAGTTTGCTGGTTTAAGATCCGGTAAATGGAGAACAAGGAGGATAGAATTCTTTCATTGGAAGACAACTATGAGGTGTTTTGAGAGGGAAAGAATATTTCTCCAATGACACCTAACCGCATGAAACCGATCTTGAAAGATAAAACGGATATCTAGGGGAAAATTTCAAGCGTAGAACGATTGTTCAATTCGTAAAAAAGAATTTCTACAACGCGTTTAATAATGTACTTGATTAGTATATTAGCAATAATATATAGGAATAATAATATACTTGATTTTAGAGCAATTTATTGTAATTACTACGTTTAGTAACTTAAGTTAGATAACTTAAATTTTGTTAGATAACTTTCGGAGATTATTTCATAGTCTACAGGGTGTTTCAAAGTTAAATAATTAGAATTCATATGTAGTTCGTATTGTATGTATGAAAAAAGGTATTACAGCAAGATTTACTTAAACAATTTACTGATAATCGAAGAAGGTACAATTTTTGGCTATAAGTATTTTAAAACTCATGACTATTAAACTAAACATCCTTTATATTAATTCAAATCTAATATACTTTAGGAACTGTAGAATTGTAAATATTTAGGAAAGCATTCAGTACTTAGTATACTGACATTTAATTCAAATTAATTTTCCAGACCTAATCCACATTGAAACACGAGGGATTCTATGGGGAAGTGAAATTATTCGAATAATCAATTCCCTATACAAATATCATGATACCTGCGCTGCATATGTTCTCATTTGAATTGTTTGTATAGACAAAATAAACATAACTGATAAATGTCCCTTTAAAATTGCTTAAATTACATATCACATGCAATAGCAATACGATAGTAATATCACTGGTAAAAATTCCCTAACATACAAGAATTAATTTTAAAAAATAAAATTGTAAAATAAAATAGAAATCCCTAAAACAAAATTTTTATTTTTTATTTTATGGAATACCAACAAGTTTTTTTTACTAATTTATCTTTTACATGAAATTACTCAAACACTATAGATAAAATTTTTTACTATAGATAACATTCTTTTATTCACAATGCACGCTTCATAAAATTAATAAGACAAAAATTGTTATCATCCAAACAAAAACAGAGAATCATAATGAAATAAAAATAAACAAGTAAAATGTAAATGACTTTTTAATGTCTTATTAACTGAAATGTTTGTAAATAATATTCCACATAATTCTTTGAAACGTTCATAAATATTTTGACAATATTTCCGATAATATTCAGTTGTCACGTTTAGTGGGCGTTCCCCTGTATAAACAGCGATAATTTTCTATTGTTATGTCAACATTGATTAATTAGCATAAACAAAGATACAGATAAAACGAAGAAATAAAAGGTAGAGCATATTTAGACCGCGTCTATTATTCATCCTCTCATCGCAACCGTAAATAGTGCGTGTCCAGAACACAGCTGATTTTACGAAAGCCGAAAAACAAGGAAAAAAATGATTACTTACAGTGTCAACAACGGCTATTCAACGAGCGTATGTACGCGTTGATGCGATAAGTTGCACTCGACTTTGAAGATGCATACGCACATCGACAGCTGTCGATGTTTCACTATCAATATGGCGGTTATCGGCCCCGATGTTTCAAAATGCTACCAGAAAGCGCGACAAACAGTCCATCAATCGCAAGCTGATTCTCCCTAAGAAAACTGCGTTTCCATCACCTCCTCCTCCTCTTCCGCCCCCTTCTTCCTCTTCTCAAAATCATTCGCGAGCGAAAGTGACCCAAGATGAGAATCGGGCAACGTCACGCGTGAAAATGACGGCGTAGCATAGTACACGTTCTTTTTCACTTCACGATTTATCGCAAACAAACTAGAGGAGGATCGAGCACGAAGGAGGAAAGAAAGCTCGAACCAGAGACAGTTGCGATTACCGATATCTCCACAACTCTCGTTCAAACACAATTCACGCTGATTTCCGTCGGCTACCCGCGCCGCGAGTGGACATCGTTCATTTTCAACCGTGGTTTCGACGAATTTAGCTACAGTGTCGTCGCGAAAACCAGTGTCACCTGGTGCACGACGGTGAACGATCCTGGTGATATGAGTCCGTTGATCAACAACGTCGACAAAGGTTAAAAATCGTGTCAATGTCAGAGCGTTGCCACCGTGTGCGATTGATGGAAACACGGTTCGCGACCACTGTCTCACTTGGGAATTTAGAATCGATTAACATCGAAGAAAGATCCATACTGGCATGTTGCTTGATAACGAGCCGATAGTTTTCGAGGGATCTCTCCATCTTATTTTCTCTTTGGGCTTCGATAGCTGATGCGGAGGAAATACTGACATGTAAAGTTCTTTGTGTTGATATTGATCACAGGTGGGTTGAGACTAATAAGTGCATTCGACTTTGTCTTTTCGAAATTGAATAGGTTCACTGTGGAAAGCAGACATTTTTTTTAAATGATTTAAGATTTGGGGGTTCATTTTTTAAGAGGGAGGAGCCTATTAAGTAGTCTCTTGAGGAGCCTTGCCTTATGATTTACTTGCAAGGTGCGTCAGTCAGAATTAACTAAACACAGATTTAATATTAAAGTAAATGAAAAAAATTGAAATATTATGTAGTTATGTTGATATTATGCAATTGTTGGCTGTATAAATTATTGGACTTGAACTCCAAATTGAAGCGAATTAAAAACTCGAGTAAGATTAATTGCAGTTGAAGTGCGAGTGCGTCAGACTCGTTGAGGTATGGCAAGGGGTTATATGTAGAGTTTCGAGGGTTGCATTACTGAAATAAATAGTGCACATTGGAATGATCTTAATGAAGGAATATAGACTTCTAAAAAGGATAAAATTAATTTTCAAATAGTTTTCAACTAGTTTTCTTTTTGGTTATAAGCAAATTGTATTAGTGAGATGTGCAATCTTGTGTTGAAATTGTGACCCCGTGAACAAAGAAATTGTTCCCATTTCTTATAATAGTAGCTGTATGTAGTATGAATCATTTGGATCAACATTAGTTCCCTTTTCAATATTGCAGTTTTGCATAATATAAATTTTAGGGTGAAACATAAACAAAAAATATTAAATAGAATTTGTAGTCTTGTCGGTGATTGATGAATTCCATGTGAAATTAAAATACAAACAAAATTTAGCTAAGGATAGTTTCATTTTTGAGTAATCATGTACACCATAAAAGTCACATTCAGGAAATTAGCATTAAAATTGAAGTTCAGATAATAAAATTTAGTTGCAATTTATGATATAAATATTAATTGAATATTATTTAATAATATTTTGATGTATATTTGTATAAGTAAACAAAAATAATAAGCATATTTATAAGGAATAAATATTCGATAATTTTGTTCGAAAAATTAAAAAGTTTATGAAGAGAAATATTGTAGTATACATTTATAGTCTAGAGTCAATAGAACATGTAACGTAAACGTGTAATTTAACACATATGACAATTTTGATATATTGAACGTCATTACACATATGATGATAACGATGTATTACATGTAGTCGCAGAATTTCTTAATATACAATATCGACATTATATTAGTCATTAAATATCATATCATTGTATTTCTATTTATTTGTTCTTTATGATTTTCTTAGCAATCTACAGTATTTTTATAACACTTATTTATTTTCTGTTTTACATTTACGAAGGGTTAATTTTGAGAGACAAAATCTTTACCCTTAGAAAAGAGTTACAGAATTTTTTCCTTCTACCCCAATTCGCAATCTCTACTACTTAATTTAACGTAACTAATGACACAATTAGATAATTAAATAGGTTGTGTCGAATGTCCTCTAAATTCAAAAGATCAAGATCCTATTCCTAATTTAGGTTAGAAAGGAACAGAAAGAAATTGTGACCCATTAGATCGCACAAACAGCATTATTTATATCATTATTATTTATCAAGGGTCGCAGTATTTTCAGTTTGAAAATAAACTAAATTATCACTCGATATCATCGTTGGTATTAGTTTCATCACATTTTTCATTATCTTCAAATAATATGAAATAACATTGCAACCTCAACATATAATTGTGTTTAAATGGCTGGAAAAATTTTTAATAATTAGTGCATACAATCTTATGTGAATAGTTATGAGGACTAAAACTGTTCAGATTGATAATTCTTTATCAGTTACGCTATCGGTTCTGTTCTTATTATTGCTATCATTGCTATTACCCTAATTTCTCTATATTCGTTATTGATAATTATGTTTATTTCAGTAGACAATTTTACACTGCAAATAATTACAATTTTTATTTCCACAAAAATAAATTTTTATTTTAACAAAAAGTTTAATAATAATTGGAGTGCAGTCTAAATTATTTGCATTTATTATTTTAATAATACAGAATTGTTGCCTTGCAAAAAAAGCTATCGTTAACCTTATTTCAAGAACTTCATTATCTTTTTATTATTTATTATTCTTATCGTGTGTCTCGCGAAACTATACGCTTTAAAGTTGATAACATAGGTAGACAATGTCCTATTTATAATCGAACAAAAAGATAGTATTCTTATTTTGAGGGGAATAATTTCGTGATTATCACCGTTTCACTTCTTATTTCACAGACTTAGTGATCATGAAAGTAAGCTTTATCCTTGATACAAACTCATAAATATTTATTCATTATCAAGAAAAAATGATTCAGTTATGCGAATATATTAAATGTTTCACAATAAAACGAATCAAGTTTTTTAATCTTGATATCTACAGTTATCTTAAGAAAATCTATTAAATATCTTACAATAAATAAATTGTATAAATATGATTTCAACAGGTTTATACAATTTTTATTTAAACATATGATTGTATATAATTGCAGCAAACAACTGAGTTCAATAAATAATTTTATAAATTGCATTAGATGTATTTTTAATTGAATTGTATATGAATTAAAGTAGATTGTGTTTGATAATTTATTAAAATATTTGAATCAAATTTATTTAGTTTAATTACACATTGTATCAATTTTAATAAATAATTAAATTAAATTCAAAATTAATTTATATTCTTGCTAACAGTAGGAACAAACATTCTATCGTTCAGTTTACACACATGTGTATTTATTAATCACTTTTATTTTCATCTTCATTTAACATAGTTTACATAAACTATAATCTATAATATTTAAAAAATCTATAATACTAGATAAGTAATGAAATGTGAACTATGAAAAATGATCATAAGGCTTGACTTTAAGTTTAGAACACTACATATTCAGTATATAACCTAAAAATTGGTGAAAACAAGAAAGATTTGATTAGTAGATATTATCAGTTGAAAACTCTGTCATTTGCAGAGTAATCTTGAAAGTTTTATTTAAAGCAGCTTACGTGTTTATTACTATGTATCACCGGTAGTAAACGAATATCACACGGATTAATTAACACGACCGCTAAGAATATTTTTTACATTGGTTTAAATTACTTGCGGTATAAACTGGTCGCTGTTTCGAAGTAAATTTATTTTTGCATAATAAATGTACTCTGATTGCCATCAACATTCGTACACTTTTGCAAAGAATTATCTTTAAAATACAATTGATCACCGGTTATTTGCTCGTGAATCTAAATAGCTGCCTGTATAATAATTGGGTGTCAGTGGAGCGAGGTAATGATTAATCACTTCGTACAAGAATACTTAAAAACGTGAATATTTAACAGAAAATTTAGGAGGTGTCAAATAAATTTCTTTAAATGTAGATTGTACTTGCATGAAATAAATTTATATATTTCTGTTAATTTAATTTCTATTATATTAATTTTTGCAAAATTATATTTTCCTATTTAATTAATTTTTGTAAATTTATATATTGTTATTCAACTGATTTCCAGAAATTTATGTATTGCTATTTAATTAATTTTTATAAATTGATATGTTACTATTCAATTCATTTCCTGAAATTCATGTGCTGCTATTTAGTTAGTTTCAATAAATTTATATTTTTCTATATAGTTAATTTCTACAAATTCATATATTACTTTTCAATTAATTTCCAGAAATTTATGTATTGCTATTTAATTTGTTTTTATAAACTGATATATTACTACTTAATTAATTGCTTGAAATTTATGTATTGCTATTTAGTTAGTTTCAATAAATTTATATATTGCTATTTAATTAATTCCTATCAACTTATATGCTGATATAAATTTACATATTTCTATTAAATTCATTTCTGTAAATTTATATATTTCTATTAATTGTATTCCTATAAATTTTATCTCAGTAAAATAAATCCTTAGAAATTTAGTATTCTATGTTTGAAGAATGGGAGGTTTAGTATTCTTTATTGAAGAAAAGTGCGTAAACGCATACGTTATTAAACGATGTCAATGAGCAATTAATGTTTCCCGTGAAGGAGATTTATCACGTGTTCGAGAGTCTATGTGTATTGTATTTTATCACGTTGGAACGTGATAAACGTATTCGGAACGCGTTAATTAGATTGCTGAAAGCGTCGAGAAGTGCAGTTTTATTAGTAGCGTATGAAGTACACCAGATTATTGACTTGAAACTTCATTTTCCATTTCCATCAATCAAGTATGACACATTAGATAGTATTTGATTTTATAAAGTATTGTAGCAAACTGAACGCGATAATCGTACTGAAGTAACTTATGAAATTTTCTGTAGGTTCATTTCAAAATCATTGTAGCTATCAATTTTAACAGTGACATTCTTTTTCAATTTATATGAAATCGTACTAAATTAATTTATGAAATTCTCTGTAGATTCATTTCAAAATCATTGTAGCTATCAATTTTAACAGTGACATTCTTTTTCAATTTATATGAAATCGTACTGAAGTAACTTATGAAATTCTCTGTAGATTCATTTCAAAATCATTTTAGCTATCAATTTTAACGGTGACATTCTTTTTCAATTTATATGAAATAAAAATGACGTTTCTATATTATAGATAATTTCCAAATATATCTTCTTCTTATTCATACATTTAATTCTGCGTTAATTTTTATAGTAATTGCTTCTCATCCTTTTTAGAAGTAATTTGAAAGCAAATTCAAAGTTTGAAAAATTGTATGCGTCAATTGTTAAATAAGTAAGTTCTATCCAATACTTGTATGGTTCAAAATAATATTACAGATTATAATTGAATATCAATACATTTTCTAGTTTTTTAAATATTTTTATTATGTCTAAACATATATTCCGACATTTTTTTATCGTGCATAAAATATTACATTGAATTTCCGTCAATGAATGCTGGTCATTGTTGATCCATATGTTGGCCTTGTTTTGTTTAGACCGTACAACTTGAGAAGTTTTTTAATTTGAACCTTCGCAAACTTGTTAAACAATAGCACATGTATCATCAACTGTGAGAAATGTTTACTGAATGTTATAAAAGAATTTCCAAATTAAAAGTTGAAAATCAATTTTTGTATATACATAATATATAATTGTAAGAACAAATTTCTGTAATGTTATATACAAAAGTATGTTTTTTTACCATTATTTTTATACATATTCACTTATGGCATCTATAATTTTTTTTATATTTTAGCACTCGCTTCTTGGATAACAAATTAACCTAAAAATAGTAATACTTTTGATAGTAATAGAAATAGCAATATTTTTAATAGTAAATAAAAATAGCAATACTTTTAATAATAAGTGAAAGTAGTAATATTTTTATATGGCAGTCAATTTTAAATTAATCAATTAATTGATTAATCGCTGAAAGAATGTATGAAGGAGACTAACTATGTATCGAAAGTAATTGAAAGATTGTTTCTTTTTCCGAGAGCTAATCATGTAAATGTATGTAATTACGCTATAATTAAGTCTGTTAACTTAAATGGTTATCATTTACTTTTTTTTATTTTTTACACCTATTATTGTGTTCTTTATAACGCCTTGAGAACTGCAACCACGCACATTCTGCGAAAATTGTAGTGTATTTTTTAGGGTCAGTACAAAAATTAGTTATGTCCAATATTTCATTACATGAGCTGATAATCTTCGAAATATTATTTTATTACATATATAATATTTTGGTTATGGATAAATTTTCCATGAAACGCAAATAGAAAAAATACATATAGAAATATGTGTAAACGTAGTACGCCTGAAAATAGATAACCTACTTTCCATTTCTACAATGGTATCTAATTCAGATAACTTTATATAAGATTTATGAACCATAATGCAATATTCCTGTTTAGAAGATCTTTTCGTTCGTGGAGCAAAAGTCAATAAAAACAATTTGGGAATTGCAAATATGTAGAGATTATTCATTTTTAAATTTAAGTTAGGAAGTTGTGGAATTGTTAGGTAGAAATTATTGGTATGAAAATTAATAAAAGTTTAATTAAAAAGTTCGAAAGCTATGAAATTATTAAATAGACTAATTGTTAGGTAAAAATTATTTATTTGCAAATTTGAGAAGCTAGAAAGTTGCGAAGTTGTTAAATACACATCATTATGTAGAAATGATTGATTTGGAAATTTTAAAAGTTAGAAAGTTGTGAAATTATTAAGTATACCTTGTTAAGTAGAAATTATCAATTTTGAAATTTAAGTTAGGAAGTTGTGAAATTATTAGGTAGAAATTATTAACATGAAAATTTAAAAAGTTAGAAAGCTGTGAAATTATTGAGTAGACATCATTAGATAGAAATTATTAATTTGGAAATTTCAAAAGTTAGAAAGCTGTGAAATTATTAAATAGACATCGTTAGGAAGAAATTTTTTATGTGCAAACTTAAAAAGCTAGAAAATTGCGAAATTATAAAGTAGACATCATTAGCTAGAAATTACTATGTAGAATTTAATTAATATCTTGAAAAATCGAAAAGTGAAAAAGACAACATTAAATCCAACCAGATTAAAAAATTAGAAAAATGAAGAACTGAAAAATTGAAAAATTCTAAGATCTGATCAAACAGGACAGAATATCTAAAACTAAAATCACGGAAAAAGAAATATGACATATCAAAAGATCATTTTTTAAGAAACAATATTCTATCTTCCATTAGTTTATATTTTTATAGCAAGATAACAATATGCTGTTATTACTGAAACTTCCGAGTAAAATGCATAACAGCAATATATAATTCTCAGTACATTGAGAGAAAGCTGTTCTCAGAACAAGCATAAAGTATAAATTATGAATGCAAATTTACGATACATATTTATAGCAGCGAGATCATTATTCAGTTCATCCATAAAGTATTCCATCTACATAGAATCTTGGATGTACAATTATCTCATACTCTACGAATAAATTCACTTCCGTAATCAACAACTTTTGAGCAATGCATTGAAACTTTTAATTACGTTATTCCTCGACTGATGGAATCAAACATTTCGATCGAATTTCAAACATTTCATGATCGAATCAAATATCGACTGATCGAATCACACATTTCGATCGAATTTCAAACATTTCATGATCGAATCAAACATGGACTGATCGAATCAAATATTTCGATCGAATTTCAAATATTTCATGATCGAATCAAATATCGACTGATCGAATCAAACATTTCGATCGAATTTCAAATATTTCATGATCGAATCAAACATGGACTGATCGAATCAATCGATAATCAAACCTTTCTTACTGAAAATTATATTTCACTTTTAACTTTCTTAAGTGACTGGAGACTAAGGTTCACCTTGCAATTCAAATTGATCTTTAAAATTAAGTTCTGTATAATGGTTGAAAGTAAATTACTTATGATTAGAAGTTAATTTTATTTCGTGAAGTTTGAATTGATAATTTCTTACTGAAAATTATATTTTACTTTTAACTTTCTTGAGTGACTGGAAACTAAGGTTCACCTTTCAATTCAAATTGATCAAATTTAAAATTAAGTTCTGTATAATGGTTGAAAGTAAATTACTTATGATTAGAAGTTAATTTTATTTTGAGAAGTTTGAATTGATAATTAAGTTTAAATTAAAAAGTTATGCAATTCTCAATTGCAATTTACTATTTCATTAACTGAAAATTATAAACGTTAATTGTCGATTACATTAGAATCTTTAGTAGCTATTTGGAACTCTGCTAAGAACCTTTGAAAAATGATAACAATGTGAATTATTTCATGTAATAAAAATGACAGTAATAAGAATTATAGAGTTATATATTATTTCATATTATGCTGAAAGAAACTTATCGTTAGTGTAATTTTTGAAAATAATATTAAGCTAACAGAATAACTCTCATATACTATAAAGCAGTTTTTTCCAAAGTAAAACAGCGTTAGTAAGTTTCCAAAGTAAATGTAGGAAACATATAAGTTAATCTGTGAATATCACAAGTAACTGTTATTATTCCCTTGTCACTGACTCGTGATTTAATCAGTTCTATACATAGTGTTGCAAAATATCGTTTACAATCTGAACAGTTTTTTCCCCAGATGATTTCCTAATTCCAGATGCTGCGGTAGCAATATTTCATTCTTCATTAAGAATAGGTACTTAGTACACTGACATTGTGTACATAGATAAGAGAATCTTCGAAATTATTTGTACTCCGTTTCGTTCAGTCAAAAACGATCCAGCCGACTGTCACGTTCGGTATAAAATTTAATTAATTTCAATTGTAACTCCTCTTTGTTGTTCACGAAGAAACTGCGTAATTTCTTCTGGTAACGTTCTTATTGAATCATTAATATTCGATTAGGATAAATTAGTTGTACTTTCTTGCTGTTACGGAAGTGCAGTATTATTGTTCATTTGTTACGAGGATATTGGAATTTCTTTTCGAGTTAAATTAACACGTTCCACATTTTCACGAGTAAGTAAGTTTTGTTGCTTCATGGATATTTGGTTAGCTGAGTATTTTTGTCTATTTAGGTACCATAATAATTATATTAAGTTTCGAACTTTGATAAAAAATTGTATGTTTGTTTTATATGGTTTTACTTATCAATATGTCGTATGTAAATTTTATGGTGTAGTTACTGTTTATTCGATCGGTCAAATTTGCATTAATTTTTATTCTAATAATCTATTAATACATAATAATTGTATACAATTATTCTAATATATTTTTATAATATACGATAATAATTGAAGAGTCAATGCATTATATTTTATCACAGTAAAAGAATTTTTTTGATTGAATATAATAATTAATTATATTAAGAAATTTTACGCACAATTTTGACAATGTATCGTTACCTTTTGTTGTTTCTATTCAACTTATTATTTATGAATATATCGTTGTATTTACTATTTATAGTCAATTTTAGTTAGCTAATATGTATACTCAGTTTTAGTTAGTTATTATTTATCATTCATTAGTTATCATTTGTGTGATCGATCTTATTTATTTTTGTTCAAATAATCATAGCAGGTTGTGTATAAAACAAAATTCATGTAGCAAACGTTATAAAGTATTTTTCAAAGAAAGTTAGTTTTATTATATTTACACATAAAACGTCGCCAAACACTGTTCTTGATACACTTATTGAATGAATTTGCACTTTCGTATTACAGTGCGATGTTTAAAAAGTGATTAAAAATTTATTAATTAAGAATCATGATATATTAAATAATAACTCATTTATGTGAAATTCTACCACAACAATTATTCATTTAGTGTTTTGTTGGTAATTATTTATTCATCTCAAATTAACTGGACATAGTCTACAAGGTTTACCAATTAATTTCTACTAACTATTAAATTATTAATAGATTAATTATTTATTTACAAGCTATTAGCCTTATCACTAATTTACAGTATTCTCTAGTCAATAGAATCAATCAAATTCAAATCAATTAACAAATTACGATACTACAAAATCAATTGATTTTGAACAATAAAATTGTTGTTTAAAATTACGAACACTTTCTGCAACTATTATGTTTTAACAACTATGTTTTGTTCACTATGAACAAAAGTCTACTGCTAATTCGTATAACTAAAAAGTTTTAAATGCATCATTTTTGTCAGATATGGTTGTTCTAGCAGAAGGTAACTGATTTATTAAACGAGTTCGGTTAATTCTGAGATATCTTTACGATGTGTCTAGACAGAACGCAAAATATGACGGTAGCCAAACCCAATGGAACGACAACAATGGGAACGACAACGAATACTTTTATCGAGGACGAGAAGAAGCTTCAAAACAACGCGTTATTACCGCACAAGGAAGAAGAAGACGATGACGATGATGATGAAATCACGTTAGAAGATTTAGCTCCCGATGGTGGTTGGGGATGGATCGTTGCTTTTGCCATGATTGTAGTGTTCGTTAGTATTTATTTTACAGTAATATCAAATACTAATACTTCTAAAATTAGTAAACTTCTATAGTGCACTTCTATATTAACCTTTAATATTAACCCTTAATTTCATTAGAATAACATAACTGAGACAATAGAACGTTTAAGATATCAGTCCCTAAAAATGTTTCTTACAAAACTACTCATTTGTACTGACTAAGTCACTTCTGTATATTAACTTTTAATATTAACCCTTAATTTCATTAGAATAACATAACTGAGACAATAGAACGTTTAAGATATCAGTCCCTAAAAATGTTTCTTACAAAATTACTCATTTGTACTGACTAAGTCACTTCTGTATATTAACCTTTAATATTAACCCTTAATTTCATTAGAATATTCGATTAGGATAAATTAGTTGTACTTTCTTGCTGTTACGGAAGTGCAGTATTATTGTTCATTTGTTACGAGGATATTGGAATTTCTTTTCGAGTTAAATTAACACGTTCCACATTTTCACGAGTAAGTAAGTTTTGTTGCTTCATGGATATTTGGTTAGCTGAGTATTTTTGTCTATTTAGGTACCATAATAATTATATTAAGTTTCGAACTTTGATAAAAAATTGTATGTTTGTTTTATATGGTTTTACTTATCAATATGTCGTATGTAAATTTTATGGTGTAGTTACTGTTTATTCGATCGGTCAAATTTGCATTAATTTTTATTCTAATAATCTATTAATACATAATAATTGTATACAATTATTCTAATATATTTTTATAATATACGATAATAATTGAAGAGTCAATGCATTATATTTTATCACAGTAAAAGAATTTTTTTGATTGAATATAATAATTAATTATATTAAGAAATTTTACGCACAATTTTGACAATGTATCGTTACCTTTTGTTGTTTCTATTCAACTTATTATTTATGAATATATCGTTGTATTTACTATTTATAGTCAATTTTAGTTAGCTAATATGTATACTCAGTTTTAGTTAGTTATTATTTATCATTCATTAGTTATCATTTGTGTGATCGATCTTATTTATTTTTGTTCAAATAATCATAGCAGGTTGTGTATAAAACAAAATTCATGTAGCAAACGTTATAAAGTATTTTTCAAAGAAAGTTAGTTTTATTATATTTACACATAAAACGTCGCCAAACACTGTTCTTGATACACTTATTGAATGAATTTGCACTTTCGTATTACAGTGCGATGTTTAAAAAGTGATTAAAAATTTATTAATTAAGAATCATGATATATTAAATAATAACTCATTTATGTGAAATTCTACCACAACAATTATTCATTTAGTGTTTTGTTGGTAATTATTTATTCATCTCAAATTAACTGGACATAGTCTACAAGGTTTACCAATTAATTTCTACTAACTATTAAATTATTAATAGATTAATTATTTATTTACAAGCTATTAGCCTTATCACTAATTTACAGTATTCTCTAGTCAATAGAATCAATCAAATTCAAATCAATTAACAAATTACGATACTACAAAATCAATTGATTTTGAACAATAAAATTGTTGTTTAAAATTACGAACACTTTCTGCAACTATTATGTTTTAACAACTATGTTTTGTTCACTATGAACAAAAGTCTACTGCTAATTCGTATAACTAAAAAGTTTTAAATGCATCATTTTTGTCAGATATGGTTGTTCTAGCAGAAGGTAACTGATTTATTAAACGAGTTCGGTTAATTCTGAGATATCTTTACGATGTGTCTAGACAGAACGCAAAATATGACGGTAGCCAAACCCAATGGAACGACAACAATGGGAACGACAACGAATACTTTTATCGAGGACGAGAAGAAGCTTCAAAACAACGCGTTATTACCGCACAAGGAAGAAGAAGACGATGACGATGATGATGAAATCACGTTAGAAGATTTAGCTCCCGATGGTGGTTGGGGATGGATCGTTGCTTTTGCCATGATTGTAGTGTTCGTTAGTATTTATTTTACAGTAATATCAAATACTAATACTTCTAAAATTAGTAAACTTCTATAGTGCACTTCTATATTAACCTTTAATATTAACCCTTAATTTCATTATAATAATATAGGTGGCACACTCGGACGTTTAAGACATCAGCCAGTAAAAATGTTTCTTACAAAGCTACTCATTTCTACTGACTAAGTCACTTATTTTAATTTGAAAGAAATTATAAATAATCTTTGAAGGTTGTTTTAATATAATTCATAGCTGATTTCAGTAAATTGAAACGTTGCATATGAACAAAAATTCTGAAACGGGAAGAATTGAAAAAATAATGGTTCTCACAGAAAAATTCAAAATGTTTTTCGATTTTAATATAAAGAGCTAAAATTTTATTATAGCTAAATATTAAAGTTACATTAAAAATGTAACAGTTTGAGAAAAAAATAGTAAAATTGAAACTAAATTGGCTGGGGTAGTTTCATATTCCAGTGTGACTGCTAAAGGTTAAAAATCCATTAGATCATCTAACATTTTGTTACACGTTTTAATACTTATTTAGAAACTTATTTTTTTCAGTTTTATATTAATATAATACAGGTTCAATCTATGCAATGTTGGTAAACTAAAATACTTAATTGAGTATTTCTTTTAAGCTAGATTTTTTAAATCAATACAGCAGTTACTCTTCTAACATTTAATATTACATTACATATTTCGTTAATCTAAAATAGATGAAAGACCTTTAGTCTAATGTTAAAATATTTTATTTTTGCATTCACTGATGATTGTAACAGTTAATTAAAATGTAGTAATTTAACCTTTCAAAAGCTTGAACATTAATAGTTACATAACAATTGTGATCGCAGTAACTAATTTAGTATATAAGCAACACACATTATCTCACATTTTCTTCTTTACGATAAGCTACATTAATGGTCCAATTTAGATGATAGCTCAAATACGGTTATTTTTAAAATGCAAACACGTTTCAGTTTATTTTTTACATCTCTTTAATTTTCAACTCCTGCATTGAACTTTTCCATTGCGTTTACAACACGCATACGATCGTTCCTGATTTCTCAGAACACATTGTAAATTACTTCTCTAATCTATCATAATTAGTATCTCGATTATACAAACACAATTTATATTTGTACATCATCACAATTAGTCAAAAATAATCCTTTGAACATCATAAATGATGAATTGGTACGTCAAAATTAATTTTGATACTATGCTTAATATAATCATACGATGCTTTATTTAATGAGATTTTATAGTGTTTGATTTATTTCGTCGATAGATTACAACATTTGGACCGACAGCATCTTTTGCTATAATATTCGGTGATTTTCTTGAAGCAACAGGTCAGGCTGGTACAGCGATGACACTTTTCAATTCCATTTTTATGGTAACATTTTCCATCGCTGGTAAGTAAATATTGTCCTTCTAAATTATGTTACTATACACAATGAAATGTTTCAAAATGAGAGATTAATTTACGTACAATTGTTAAATTAAAATGTTAGACATTATTAGAGTTATTTTTAAAACACTTATATCATTGAGGTAAAAATGGATATCTGAGTACTAATAATACTAAAATGATCACAAATCGTTATTTCCTTCACTACTTATTTGTTCTTTGTTTTGATATTTATAGAATTATGACAAAATATATATTTTAGTATTGACACTTTATTTATTTACTTTATACTGACACAAGTTTCTAAGAATTTTCTATAGAATGTTAATACTTCGGAAAATTGTGAAGGTACAATTAAATAACAATTAATATACAAATTAAATTAATATACAATAAAGCAGTATAGAATCTACAAACGTACATAATCTACAAAGTCATTTTAATTATTTCAAATGATTTGATTAATGATTCGCAATAAAACGCTTTTACTTATCAAATTTGAACAAATATACCTTGCGTCTATTTGCGTCGAAAATGTCTATTAAGTACTATATCTGAGTCTTAGAAAGTGCAAATCACGTATGCAGATGAAAATTCAGTAACATGTTGCAATCTCTTGTCTTCAAATTGTCACGCACAATGTTACATCTTGTCAATATTTGAAGAAATGTGAGTAGAATGAAAACATACACAATTTATTATTGCAAACGATCCATGAATACAAAATTCTTTACTTTATTTAAAAATTTTGTATTTCATACAGCGTTAAGAATTTAAAGAAGGTAATTAAGATATACTCGTATATGTTCAAGTACACAATATTAAATACGTTTGCAATATTATGTTTTAACATTAAATTATATTTTATATTATTAATATTGTTTAATGTTATCTTAATCTGCTATTGAATACAATTGAAATTGGTAACTTCTTAAATACTTACATTTGTATTAACTATTTAAACAACGAGACAAATTAAACTTTTCTTTGAATTTGACAGTTTTATATAAACACTGAATGTACTAAAAATTATCTTCTGTAATTCAATTCATTGAAGTTGATCTTTCTGATAAATGATTAATATTATACTTCAGTCAAATAATACGTTATACTTTTCTCTAAACTTGACAATTTTACATAAACACTGATTGCACTAAAAATTATCTTTTATATTTTAACTCATTGAAATTGATCTTTCTGATGAATAATGAATACTACACTTCAGTCAAATACGTTATACTTCTCTCTAAACTTGAACATTTTTTATACAAGCACTTAACCTGACCATCGAATTTGGGCCACATACGAAAATATCACCTTTATGACTATAACATTATGTCATATATGGAAAATTGCCCCGGCTTTGTTAGTTGTAATTTCTTACAGTGAAACAAAATAAAGTGATCAAAAATTCATATATTTTACTCTATTCTAAATATTTCAATTTCAATAAATTAATTTTTACATTGCAGTTTTTAAGTTGTATGGCCATGGAATTAGGAGCACGTACGAAAATTTCACATTTATGCCTATAACATTATATGGAAAATTGTCTTAGGCCATGTAAATTATTACTAAATACATTGTTAACGACATATACATAGCATTTTGTTACTATCGTGATAATAAATTATGTGGGTGATGAGTGATTAACTGTGCGAGCGTGTCGTTAGGCCAAGTATCGATAGCACGTGAGGTGAAATTTGAATGCCATAAAAAATGTCTGCCTTCCAAAAGACTAGTTTACAACTCCCTAACCACATTATCTGAATTGAAAAGAATTACAGATATTTGGGAAAATAATGAAGATATAAAGCATACGATGTATACAGAGCATGCCGGAAGCTGTGACCAAAGCAAAGGGTGGAAACACAAGATATTAACATGTGTCAATAATGTTGTGTACAGTAGTAGTTATGTTAGTAGCTAATAAATTATTACAATTTGAACAGACCTTTCAATTTTATGGAAAACATGAAAAATGCTGAAAATTTATAGCGATAATTCGATGGTCAGAGACTCTAATTGCATCATTTTTCTTTCATTTGAAATAATTGGAATTAATTATACAGTTTAAGAATAGTAATATCTCGTGAACGTGTTTACAAATATTCTACACAGCAAACACGACTATATTTGTTTCTGGATACATGCACATCTATATCTAAACAATATGAACATAATAGTGATAACGCGTCATTGTATCATTTCGAATTGCATAAGTGCTAATTGTTATGCATTGCTAAACAGTTTCACCAGTACATCAACTGCTGATAACATTTCTTTGTGATAATAACTGTTCGTAAATGGTTGATGGAATTAGCAGGAAAACAGTAGACATTTTTGATAACGATTGTGATTAAGGAAAGAGATAATAATGAATAATGTCAAATGTACTGAACAAAAGAAAATTGATACAACTCAATAGACTAAATAGAATAGAAATAGAATAAATAGATAATACAGTTGTAGATGTGTGAAAAGTATGGAATGTCCAAAGTTTTTGCACAATGTATTGCATTACGAAATTGCTGAATTTGCAAGTTTCCAAGTATCTAAAATGAATATTCAATTTTGGAAATTATGTGTTCGAAAATTCCTATATCTGATTCTAAAAACGTGTAACTTCACAAATATTCGAATTCCTAAACATGAAAATTTCCACACTTGTAAACTTTGTAATTTTTATATTTCAGAACGTGCCATTTTAACAATTTGTAAATGCAAAAATTCGTAACTTCGAAAAGTTCCAAATCTTCAGCACACATAATTTACCCCCTGAAACCTTATGAGTACAAAATTTTGATGACATAAAGCAGATATAAATAATCGTATGTTTCATTACAGGTTTAATGACCAACACATTACTAAAAAGATATTCGATGAGGCCAGTAGGTGTGATTGGTGCAGTGTTTTTCTCGGTACCAAATGTGGGCCTAGCTTTCGTCACAAACGTGTACGAGATGGCTTTCATAAATTTTCTCCAAGGCTTGGGTCTCGGTCTGATCGTTACCATCTGCAACACGAATTTCAACGCTTATTTTGTGAAGAAAAGAGCACCGGTACATAAATGCAATTCTCGACATAATTATATTCCTCATTCTTTAGGGAAATTTTTATTTTACAGGTAATGAGTGCGGCTCAAGTCATTGTGGGCTTAGGTGGAATTGCTTATCCTATATGCATAGAAAAGATGATGAAAGCGTATGGTTTTCGAGGCAAGTATTTACTCACTCCATTTTATATCAATCGAAATTTTTGGGAATCATGAGATTTGTCGATTTTAAGGTTTGGAGATTTTGAGATTTGAGAAGTCTGTTATTTGGGGACTAGAGGATTTGGATATTCTGGAATTTAATTTGGGGATTTGGAGATTTGGAGATCATGAAATTTCGTTTGGGAATTGGAGGATTTGGGGACTTTTGGGATTTTGGGATTTGAAGATGTCAGGATTTTAGGATTTTGAGATTTGAGGATTTGGATATTCTGGAATTTAATTTGGGGATTTGCGGATTTGGAGATCACGAAATTTGGTTTGAGAATTGGAGGATTTGGGGACTTTTGGGATTTGAAGATGTCAAGATTTTAGGATTTTGAGATTTGAGGATTTGAAGATTTGGAGATTTTGGGGATTTCAGGATTTTGAGATGTAGGATTCAGGGATTTGAAGAACATGGGATTTGGGAATTCCGGTATCCTGTGATTTAGGAATTTGAAAACTAGAAAACTAAGGGATTTAAGCAAAGATTTACTTAATTACGAATTAAGAAATTTTTGAATTTTGGGATTTGGAAATTTGAAAATTCAGAATTTTGGGAATTTAAAAATGTTAATATTTGAAGATTTAGAAATGTGAAAATTTGGACATTTGAGGATTAGAAAGTTTAGAAATTTTTGAATTTGCTTGATCTTGAATCTTGTAAACCAAAGGTTTGATAATTTATATATTTGACAATTTAGAAAATTTTGTGATTCAAACGTTAAAGAAATGAAAACCTCAAAATTTGAAAAATTTTTAATTCAAAATAAGTCCAAATATTTGTTCATACAAAAACAATATTATAATATACAATTTTTCGTGATTTTATAGGAACTGCGTTAATGACAGGAGCCATGAGCTTAAACTGCATCGCAGGTATGACAATGATGCATCCGGTCGAGTGGCATGCAAAAAAACCGGAAGAAGTACGTGCCGAGAGGGCACGTCAGAGGGAAGAACAGAAATTCCGGGGAATGGTAGTTGTAGATCGTCGTTTTAGCGATTTTCTTCATGTCCCTGCGAAAACAAGATGGAGTAGCTTAACTAGTCTCAAGGGTGAAAGCGCTAAACAGGTTCCGCTTTTAATTGAATCATTAAAAGTAAGTTTCTTATTACTACAAATATTATACAGGTTCAATTTCTATCCCTTCATAATAAGTTTAGTGCTAATCATTATATTTTGTTGAACGCAGGCTCCTGCAAAGAGAGTAGCATCAATTTCTGAATTAGAAGATAGAATTCGCAATCGAATGAAGTCTGGATCAATGCGTGAGCTGTTAACCAGACGGTTGTCAACATTTTCGTCATCAAGCTTGGTTAACTTAGTGACAGGCATTGGTGGTGTAGGAGATATAAGGCAGCATCATTCGGAAAAAAGCAAAGAGAAACGAAAAGAGAAAGGAGTTCAAGTATCTATGAAGGAAGAGGAGGCTGGGAAAAGTCAATTACAGTATGTAAATGTATTACAGTTTCTATTATTTATCATTTTTTATACAAATAAAATTCTTCAAATTTATAAATTTGCCAACTTACAAATACTTCAGTACTCACAAGTACAGTACATTTTCAAGTTTTCAAATTTATAAATTTACCAACTTACAAATACTCCAGTACTCACAAGTACAGTAAATTTTCAAGTTTTCAAATTCGGAAAGTTTCAAAATTTCTAAAGTCTCAAATATCCAAATTCCCAAATTCTTATATTTTTAATTTGCAAATCCTCAAGTTCTCAAGTTTCCAAATTCTCAAATATCAAGTTCTCAAATTCTCAAATCTTCTAATCCTCAAATCCTCAAATTTACAAGTTCCTAAATTGATAACTTCTTATATTCCCAAATACTCACGTCCCCATGTTCTCAAATTCCCAAAATCCCAAATTTCAAAACTCTCAAATCCTCAAGTCGTCAAGTCTCCAAATTCTCAAATCTTCACAATCTTGTATTTCCAAACTCTCAAATTCTCAAGTCTTCAAGTCTTCAAATTCTCAGATCTCCACATTCTTCTATTTCCAAACTCTCAAATCCCCATGTTTTTTAGTTTCTAACTTCTCAAATGTTCAAGTCCCAAAATCATGTATTACCAAATTCTCAAGCACCCAATTTGCCAAATGATTCACTTCTAAAATTCTCAAATCCCCAAATTCCTGAATTCCCAAATTCCCAAATCCACAAATTTTCAAATTCCTAAGTTTAAAAATTTCTAAGTTTCCAAATACGTAATTTACAAAATTTACAAGTTCCCAAATACTCGAAACAGTAGATTGCACATATTGAACTAATGAAAATATTTTTCTCATCCATACAGAGAAATTTTTGGCGATCTTCTGGAGATATCACTGTTGAAGAATTGCGGTTTCATGAACATTTGTTTGGGTATCAGTTTTGTCTTAACTAGTGATTTCATATTTTCCTGTTTATTACCACTGATGATAACTAACAGTGGTTACACGAAAAGTGAGGCAGCTCTAGCAATCACTATATGTGCAGCTGCAGAATTGGTATCCAAAGTATTGCTTGCAATTTTCACTTTGGTTGTGAAGGTTAAAGCGAAATACTTATTCTTCATCGCCATGATCTGCATGGCGTTCGCAAAAGCTGGTGAGTAATTTAAATACACGAGATATAGTAATTTTACACTTTTGACGTTTTCGTATTGTTAACATAGTCAACCTTTTGCGGTCGTATTAAATTTGGTCATGGGTGTCGTACTAGTCGGAATTAATTTCCCTTGAAAGAGCAGTGATACATAATATGTAAGATTACGAAGAATGAATAAGATTTATTAATTCTTTTGTGAATTTACCATCAATATAATCGATAAAATTGCTCACTTTTTGGATTCTCGTCGTTACATTTGCATTTCTGGAAACATTTTCATTCAAATGTAACATCCAAAATATTTGGAGAAATCTTCCCTTTCGAAATATATTTCTAAAAAATGGTATATTTCCAACATGCTCCTTAGTCCAATAATATTTCATATTAGGATCTGGTATAGTACCTATGTTAAAGATCACACCCAAAAAAGCTGTTAACTCTTCTTTCGTCGCATCGATCCAGTTATTCGATGTTGATCGATCAGATAAGCTCTGCTGTCCTATTTTATTTTTGGCATATTTATTTGTTTCTAGTACAATTGTTTCAAGTAGTATATCTGTGAAAAAGAGTTTGAAAAAGTCGATAGGTTCGGTGCAATGAACAGGTGCATTAGGTCCAACAATCTTAGATCCTGTCGAAAAATTGGTTTTTGATTGCGGTTGAATAAAGTATGCGGTTGAATAAAGTATAAGAACAGATGCATTAGGTCCAACAATCTTAGATCCTGTCGAAAAATTGGTTTTTGATTGCGGTTGAATAAAGTATAAGATCAGTATGGTTCCTTTCTGTGGTGGCTGAAAGCAGACATACGATTGCAAAGGGTTAATACAATACATTATCTTTGTTAATAATATGGCATCATATAGATAATGCAGTACATTGTCTTTGTTGTTAGTACAATATAACGCAGTTAACCTACAAGGCTTCAATCTATAGATGAAACATGTTTGCTTCATGCTATACAATAGATTTTTAACATTCTTTTTTTCTTAAAATTGAGATTAAACACGATTTAACTTGGACTAAATTTATTGGTTTAATTGACAATAATAGTTTTCTGATTATTAAAATGGTTTTCTGATGATTAAAGTAGTTTTCTGAGGAACCTATCTTCAGTGTAAATCATAGGATAGATGTAATGTTTGTATCAAGCAAACACAACGAGGATCAAGTTTAAATTTTATTTATAATTTCTTTCTACAGGCTACCTGTTATACAGTGAAACTTTAGTAGGCACGTTTGCGATGATAGCCGTTATCGGAATCGTTAGATCATGGTTATTAGTTCCCCAACCATTGGCCATCATAGAAGATATCAGTATTGATAAATTTGCCTCGGCGTACGGAATTTATGGTGGTATTAGCGGTGTGACTTCTATATTATGTGGTCCGATCGTTGGTAAGTAAACTATCATAATTTCATTTTTTCAAGTCAAATCAATTTAAAATTGAAACTTTCAAATTTTAAAGAATGTTTCACTTAAGACGAACATTTAAATTTATACTACTATTAAATATAGAAAATATATTAAAGCTAAAGAATGTCTTAATTATAGAAAAAATAAATAACAAGGTGAATTTTTATATTATATCAAAATTTGTACACAATATTAAAATTCACGTATAGTCATTAAATGTATATTCTGAAATCATATAACTTGCTATTAGTTACTTTTCTATTTTTCTAGACCGATAAACATATTTTTTATTGCGCACTTCTATTTCTATACCGTTAACACTAAACTACCAAAGCAGTAAAATGACCAGTTCAAAGTTTCTTATTATAAGTCTTATAAGATAACCTAATTTGTTAAAGTAATTTTCCATTTAAAAATGAAGAATTAATATCTATATTAATTTACCTTTTGTCATTCGTTTATTTAGTTTTCAATTTTATTTTTAATTTCAAAGTAAGTATAAATTGAACGCTGGTAGGTTTAGCGTTAATGATTAACGAATAGACTGAACATAAAAAATGTTACTTTCGTCTCCGCCTTCCTCTACGATTTCTAATATATCCTGTTTTATAATCGGAGTTTAAAGTGTAAGCGATCGTTTTTCAGGGTTGTTGAAGGACTGGACCAACAGCTTTGTGGTCTGTCAGCTCGCTCTTATATTAATGAACGTCCTGTTCGTTATTCCATGGGCAATACAGTTCCTTTCAGTAGGTTTACCAAAGAGGGGGAAGGAACGAGCGGATAAAATTGCCGCCCAAACTTCCGGTTCCCTTTCTGCAGATTGACGCTAACGGAGAGAGAAGGAGAAAGACCTTGTGCGTAAAGCACGTTTCTACTATTTAACATTAGGAATCCTTTTGTACAAATAGAAGATCAAAATACTTGTTTGACGATGCTTTTACCAAAGTATGAATGTTCTTTGAATGAAAGCTACTGTAAATTGGCAAGTACTGGACAGCAGAAAGTAACCCTCGAATGGCGGATCAAATATTCCACATTTCTTTAATTCTCAGACACTGAAATTTTTAAACGAAAGATTGTCATACATTTAAAAAGTATTTAAACAGATAGTATGAAACTTATGAAATCATTTGAAATGATAAACTTAGAAAATGATAAATTATATTTCAAAAGTAAATTCAAGTTTGAAAATATTTAATTAAGAAATATCGGACTTCGTGATGCAAGGGTTAATACAGCGACAGAAGAAACGTACAAATTTGTTTTTTAGTATGATAAATAATGAATTTAGATATTTTATCGAGCGAATCAGTTGAAATTAGTACCGTCATTTTTTTACTAATTAAATATTTGAAAAGTTGCGATTGGAGAAGTTTGCAAAGTGAACAGTGATATATTGAATGTATATAAGTGAATAATTTAATAACATAAACGAAATTTTGAATAAATGTTTTGTACTGGAATTGTTGTAATTATTACCTTGAAGCTACTGAAGAAAGGAATGAGTGTAAAATATTTTTAATGAACCTTTGGTTATAATTTTGATAAGTGTGATGGGTATCAAATACCACGTCACAATAATAGTGATGTAGTATATTATACTACTTATACAGTAATGATATATTATACTATATTATTGTTAGCATACATTGAACAGTAACTATAATAATAGTATATAATAGTCTAGTTGCAAGTTAAATATTTTTAACTTCAGCTAAATATTTGATATCAGAAATTAATAAGTTCCCTAATAGTTCCTTGATGGTATCATCAAGGATATTTACTGAAAATTTCTAAGCATATATTTGTACGTTAAAATAACTACTTATACAGTAATGATATATTATACTATCTTACTGTTAGCATACATTGAACAGTAAGTATAATAATAGTATATAATAGTCTAGTTGCAAGTTAAACATTTTTAACTTCAGCTAAATATTTGATATCAGAAATTAATAAGTTCCCTAATAGTTCCTTGATGGTATCATCAAGGATATTTATTGAAAATTTCTAAGCATATATTTGTACGTTAAAATAACGCGAAAAGTAACGAAAATAAAAAATTATTAAAAATGTATTCACATAAAATTATAGTTTGAAAAGTCCAAGTTTACTAATAATTAATTGCAACAAAATTTTACCTTAATTCAAAAGACTTAAGTCCATATTAAAAAATTCTATCTTTTTAATCTTCATCACAATATTAATAACTTAAGTAGTATCATAGTGCTCGTACTTATAGACTATAAAACAAAACACAGAATTTATTTATATTGTCAAGTCATTTAATTATAATAAATGCTTTTTCCAAAAAACTTAATACTTACATAATTAATTATATAACAAATATGTATAATTACATAATTAGAATGACATAAACTGTATTATATTTTATTTAAATAATTTTAATAATTAATTTGGCAAAATTATTGAAAAGTGAAACATTGTTATTCAGAAGTAACCAAAACAAGTCTTTGTGACTATTGTTCTATTATTTTCACGCAACGACTCAGTTCGACTTATTTGATAATCCATTAATTCATAATATACAAACATTAAAAACTGAAAGTATTTAAAAATGTTACATTGGTATAAGAATCATAAAAAATAACAAAAATGTTTTCATTCTATATAAAAAACAAGAATTTCAATTGTATACGTATAAAATTACGAAATTTTGCATTGTTTATTGCAGTCAGAGTGAAATGCGAGCAAGAACGCGATTTTAAACGAGAATCTCTTGACTGGTTTTGTTTCGTGGCTCGATTTTTATTCGAAAGCCGTCCACCCTTTTAAGAATAATGTCAACCTTCAGCCGGAAGTCCTTTTCTGAATGATCCGACAGGATCTTGTAGTTCCGCAGGATCGTCGACAATAAAACCTTCAATTTCAACATCGCGTACTTCCTTCCCACGCATGACCTGCAGAAAACGTGTTTTAAATAAATTAGTAATATAATGAAATATAATAGCGGTTATTATGAATCCCGCAAAATCAAATTAGAGCGTTTGAAAGTGGCCTGAGTCCATTTCTGTTTAAATTGAGATATTTAAGAGTTTGTCTTTCGATAAAATTAAATATGTATAGAATATCAATGTATCACACTGAAGTTCATTTAAGAGAGTAAAATTTACAATTCCTATTAAAATAATAGCAATTATTAAGTGAATAGTACGTGTATTCTTACTAAGAATGGACTTAAGCCACTTTCAAAATTAATAATTAGATTTGTCATAAAATTGGAAACAGCCCAAGTCCATTCGTTATAATTTGAAGCGCTTCAAATTGAAAAAACAATATTCAATTTATTTTATATTTTATTACAACACTTGAGAAACACAATTTATGCGATTCAGGAAATATTATAACTATATAAATTACATAACAATTTACTGCTTGTCTACATTTTGTGTATGCGGGAGGGATTTGAAGAAGTCGTGCTTCGGTGGTATATATTATTAATACTAATTAATTATTATATTCACTAATTAATAATTCATTGTAATTACCATCGTCACCGTCTTCGGACATTTGAAAATCCGCAGTTTTTGACGTTATCAATAACAGATTGGACTTAGGCCACTTTTAAAGACAATTTTTCAACTATCAAAATTACTGCGAAAATTTATATATGCAAAATTATCGTATACTCTGAATATAATCCATCGCAAAATGTTTCTTATGATAGTGGCACAGAACGAATTAAAAATGCTTCAAAATGTGTTACACAAGTTTACAAAGTCAGTGAATTAGCAAAGATTTTTTCGAGTAAAACTGCTTTTTATTCACCTGGGTCCTGCGCTGAAAGGAATGAACGCATAGTAATGCCTGTTTTGCGTTCGTTCCGGCAAGAAATTATCAGGATTAAATTCTTCAGGGTTCGGGTAATATTCCTCCAAACGATGGACCTTATATGGGGAAATTAAAATCGTACAATCTTTTGGTAGCACGTAATTCCCAGTGACTGAAAAAAATACAAATTCGACACATAACATTTTTTTTTATCGAGGAACACAAGATATTACATACTAGTTTATAATAGTTTTAACATCTTGCAATTATAGAAGGTATAAAAAATTATTCCTATAAAAATAATATGAGACAGAGAGATTTTGTCTCAAAAATGAAGCTAGAGTTTTTTTTAAGATTAAGTTGTATCGTGATAGTTGAATTCGAAAATTGAACAAATTATATTGAGAAGTTTGATAGATGAGTTAATTTAATTAAACATTTTAATTGCAAAGTAAATTTTGATAGAAAGTGAAATATCTCGATAGTACAAAATGAGAAAAAAGTTAATATTTTCTTTGTCAATCTTTCACCTGTAATCTGATTATTGTACTAAGTTTACCTAGTTGTACATCTTCTTTTAACAATCTCGCAATTGCTGGCACTGGTGGATAGAGTCTCAGAGTTTCCAAAATGACTCTTTCGAGGTACTTCATTTCTAAAGTATCTTGGAATGTGCAAGGCCTGTTTGAATCCTTGAAGATTTCATTTAATTCTTCGTAAACTCGATCCTGAAACGGAAGTATTGTACTTCGTATGGAATTCAGTATTTAAAATTGTTCCTATTTGTAATAAAAATAGGAAATTTACTAATTTTGAGACTTAGGAATTTTGAACTTTGGGAGTTTGCAATTTGGGAATTTTGGAATTGCGAGAATTCTAAGCTTTGAAAGTTTATAACTTTTGAGATTTAAATCTGCGAAATTTGGAAACTGGGAATTTCCAAATTTTGAATTCTTAAAATAACTTCGTAGTTTGATACTTTACGCAACTATAAAAATATAGAATCACGAGAATTTTAAAACGACGAACATTTGAAATTTTCCAATATGTGAACTTGGAATTTTATGAATTTAGAGCGTTGAAATTTGGGAACCATGAACTTCTAGGATTTTGAAGTCTTCTAATTTTGAAATTTTGGATTGTTGAGACTGTGAGATAATTTCCATCAGTAAAACTATGTGTACATATAAATATCGCAAAGTTATAAACACTTAGCTCCGAAGACAAAATAAAATTGTAAATTAGTCATAAAGTCTTCATAGATCAAAGACAATTTCCAATTTTTTTTATAATTAGTCACGAAAATAATAGCCTTATAGATAGTAAATGATGTTACAATTTAAACGAAACAAATGAAAACAGGCGTCATTAATGTCAAACGAGAAATGTTATCGAACAAATCCATCTTAACAAAGAACTTCAAGCAGTTAATCAACACGTGATTTCAGACAGGATAAATTAATAACATTCAATCATTAACCGAGTAATTTGTAAAATTTTAACACAGTACAAGCTCTTTTTAGTATGGGAGATGCAGAGAATGGAAAATCGTTGTTTATGAAAATGTGTGCAATGTGTCATACCTCTAATAAAGATGGAAAACACAGAGTAGGTCCAAATCTTTTTGGAATAGTTGGCAAAAAATGTGGTAGTACGTATATCTCATTTTTTCAAATATTAAATGTTAGAAATGTTCATCGAAAAAGAAGTGTACATTAATGCAAGTTTTTCGTTTAATCATTATTTTGTATATTCCAATATTGTTTATATTATAGTTATAAGTTTATTGATGTTAGAGGTTATCTAAGTAACTTTTAAGAGACTTTTAAGAAAGTTACTTATAGTAACTCAGCCTTCATAATTGTTAAATAAATAAATATAATTGTATTTGTGTTCATATTTAAATAAATAGAACCTTCATAATTTAAATAAATATTTGCACAGCTTCTGTTTCGTAAATTGATAATAATATAATAATACTGAACGGTAATTACATTCGTTTCTTGTAATTTCTTATTTCTGTTTATTAATTTTATTTTTTTACTTATTTTATAACAATTTTTTAATGGTTCAATTTATTTAGAAAATTATAGTTGTAAGAGAAAACTTGGTTATTGACTATAGATCGTGAATTTATGACAAAAGTACGATTTACTCATGAAATAACATGGAAGATTTATTGTGGGAATAATTTTTATTAGGTTTTGAGGGGTAAATAATAATAGCTGCACAAGTTTTAGGCAATTTGCGCCTGCAAAGGTGCATTTTATGAACATACGAGTGGCGCAGCTTGCATTTGCCGGCGCTTAGGAATAGTACTTTAGAGAAATAGATAAGATTAAGTCGATTGCGCCATTTTTCAACGAAATTCGTAGCGCGAAATTTAATTTGTATAGAATTATATATTTTATTTAAAAGATGCAAGTTTTTTACAGCTAGAAATGGTTTTCACTTTTTACATAAATATATTAAGTGCGGTTTTGTTTGACATAATGCAAAAGCAAAGATATTTAAATGTAACAATGTATATGTATAAAGAATATAGAATATGGAGAGCTAATTAGTTTCGTAATAAAACAACGGTAGATAATATATAAAAATTTATTACTTGTGCAACTTGTATTTCATAGTTGTATAGTGTTCTTTAAAATGGCGTTATTGATGTAACTATTTCGAAACTTTGATTTGAGGATCTTTATTTAGAAACTCAGTTTAGAAACCCCTTAATATATTAGATATTACATATTATATATTATATTAACATATTAATATGTTATTAACGTATTATTAATATGTTAATATGTTAAATATGCTAAATATTTTATATATTACTTAATATAGTAAGGTACTACATATTATTTTTTTAAACAAACGTTTTGAGCAATTTATTTAGTTTATTACATTGAAAAAGCTATTTTGTCTTTGTTAAACCAATATCATATTATACCTCCAGAACAAAGTTAATATTTCCAACCTACATGTTTTCCATACATTCACCTATTTACATGAAATTATTTAGTATCTCTTGAATATACTCAAACTAACTCATTTACGTTAAATTACAAATTTAGCTAGTCCTGGATTCACCTACACTGACTCGATGAAAAACAAAGGAATCGTATGGGACGAGAAAAATTTAAACGAATATTTAGAGTTCCCTAAGCAGTTCATTCCAGGCACAAGGATGGTATTCACCGGAATTAAGAAACCGAAAGACCGTCAGGATTTAATAGCTTACTTAACAACGTTGAAATAACTACACTTTCACGAATCAATCTGTACAGTGTTCAAAGTATGCATTATCCGTAACGTTAGTTAAATAAATTTGTATATTTAAAAAAAGAAATTGCAAAGATATATACTTCTTTTATACTTACCTGAATGTCCTGATGAATTCCAAGCAAGCAGAGGACGAAACTGGAACCAGCAGCCGTGGTGTCGTGACCCTGAAAAATAAATACATTGTAATAAATATTTTCGTAAGTATATTAAGTATCATTCTCTCACAAGATTTTAATCCAAAATTAAACGTATGTTCTTGTTATGTTCAAGGTGCTGTTACATTTGCGCAAAATTGTCGATCGAACAACAGTTCATATGTTTAAACTCCATGTGTTTATATTGAATGTTCATAAATTATTACGATCCAAAATAATGTAAAATTTGAAAGTTCAATTAAAAAAAAAAGAAAAAATAAATTCTTTCACATGAAACAATTTTTCTTGTCATGGAATGTTACATTTTGAATTATATTTGTATGAAATATGCAAAATTTGTATTCTTTAAATTTAACTCTTTTGGATACACTTCAAGAATCTGATACATTGACATTTTTTATGTATATTTTTAATTTTATTGAAACATCTTAAATATCTCTTTATTGAAACTCTTAAATATCTTCATTTAAACATAAATGGATTTAAACCAAAGTAAACGTCGTAAATATTAGTTTATTTATTCAACTATTATATCGTTACCTCAAACATTATGGTATCAACTTCCTCTTTAATTTCTTCATCGGTAAGTTTCGCTCCATTCCTTGATAATTCAAGCATAAGATCCAAGAAAGCAAGTCTTCTTTTTTCGCCAACATCATTGTCATCGATATCATCAAGATCATCTCTCGCGTAGTGCATTTTCGTTACACCTTCGTTATTTGTTTTTGTTTCGCTATTTTGTGAAATTTGTTTAATCGACTCAGCTTCGCTCGATTTCTTCTGCCTCCCTTCGACATTCGAGCCAATACTTTGGAAAGCTTCTTGTTTCTTCTTTTGAATTACTTTCGAGGTCAAACCGTGGATGACACTCAGCAGCTTTTCTTGCTGCTTCTTCAAGTTTGAGAGGTTGAAGAGACAATCGGGTCGCAAACGCACGGTGTATTGCCGTCGATGAATTATGTCGCACATTCTGAACAAATGAAGTAAAATTAAGGTAAAATGGGTAAGTTGGTAAACGGGGCAAGTGCATATGCAGACTATTTTTATTACAATATGAGCGAAATTTCCCTATTTAGTATGTTTGTTTCCTTGTTTTGTTTCACTATATCCCCTTTTATATTTCAGCTAAGAGTACTTGTTTGCAGTATAGAGTACTTGCATAATGCAGTAAAAAACATTTTATAGCAGATTTGTTAATAATTCTGCTCTT